CGCGCCGATTGTCCGCCGAGTCCGAGCGCGGGTAGATCGTCATTCGTCGCGGCTTGCCGAATTTGCATATTGCACTCGCGCGCGCTCGAAAGCTCTCGACGCGAAGCGCCGGTAATTTCGCGACGAACGAATGTTGGTCTCGATCGCCGTGCGCGATCGCGACGTCGCAAAACATACCGTACTCGTCGATTCTCGTATTCTTCATAGTACTCTCGCTCGCTTCCGCTTCCATTTTCTTCCGCACTCCGTCCAGAAAGATCTGCAACACGGATGGTGACCGCTGACGACGTGGAATAATAATAAATCGCATCGCGAACGTATCGATGAGAGACGAGCGTTTGGCAATCGAATGCGCACGGCGGATTATTCGCTCCGTTCAGAGAAAAGCCAAGGTCGCAACTCGAATATACTCGATAAAGCACCCCCCCCCCCTTGACCTTTCTCTTTTCTTTCTCTTTAGCGCCAATCGACACGTGACTTCCGACACACCTCCGAGCTCGCCCTTATCCGCGCGGATTTGCTCGCGCGTCGCGTCGACAAAATTCCACTCTCCACTCTCCGGAGAAAATGGCCCTCCATTTTCGCCATTTCTCGCGGTTATCATTTATACGGCGCGACACACTGTTACCGCGCGCTACTGAACTTCTCTATAACTCCGCCGAAACTTCACTCCGCCGGACATTTCCCCTTTTTTCTTCCCGCCAAGTGTCAGGATGATCCTCTGGAAATCGCGTCCCGTCTGCACACGTGCAGTTTTTATCCGCGCATTCCCGAACAGAACAGAGCGGGGAACGATCAGCCGCCGATAACTTCGCCTCGAGGGTTAAATAGCGTGTCGATTAATGAGAATCTATATCGATTCGCGCTTACGGGAATCAAACTCGGATATCCGGCCGGCTTGAGAGAAGAATCTCCCTCCCCCTCTTCCTCTTTCTCTCTATCCCCTGTCTCTCTCTCTCTCTCTCTCTCTCTCTCTCTCTGTCTCTCCCGCTTCTGGCGCAGCGTCACATACGCGTTGCGAGTTACGATCTGGAAAATGCACTTGTTCGCGCTCTCGCGTTTAGCTCGTGCCAGAAACTGACGAGTAAAGAGTCTTTCGAACAGTGTTCTCCGAGCCGCGGCCACCGCACCGCACCGCACCAGAGGAGGGATGCTGGCGCCAAGCATCGCTCGTCGAGACGCGCCTCTACGTAGAAGTGTAGAAAAACGTGTACCTGGGAAGGGGCCCTACTGCAACCTGCAACCTGCAATTCAACGGCTAAGACGACGGGAGGCAGTGTTTTCCGAGAACGGGTCGGCCATGAAGACCGTCGAGATACGGGTCGAATTTTTTCTCGGTGAAATTTGCGCTTAAATGGAGCGAGCTCGGCGGTGCTCCAGTTGCTCGAAATGCGAAACGACGAGAAGGATACGGAACGATGAAAAAGATATTCTCTCTGTCTGCTCGAGTGAAATCGTCATCTCTGACGAGGATGGTTGAAGAATGCATGCTCGCGAATGGTTCCTCAAGGATATTAAGACTCGATTGGCCGATGCCGGGAAGGCCGATTGCGCTCATCGTCGAAAAGGGGAAACACGGCGATGAGAGGGACGTGACTCGAGGATCGAAAGATCGGAGAAAGCATTCGACGTAGGAACTGAAGTACGAGCGCGCGACGGTCCCCAATGTGGATTTCGCCGAATATTCAATTCTTCCGGCGGTTCCGCGCCGCCCGGGAGCGGGGTTGCTGCGCCGCTGCGCCTCATCTTGGGCTCCACGTCGGAGCATCGCGCGCGCTCCACTTTACTGTTGCACATGTAAATGCGCCGCTACAGCGCAGTAACGCATTTCTCCATTAACCCCAATTAAATCGGTCCCTTAAAAATACACACCGCCGAACGTCGAACGGTATGCGCTGCGATGCGCATCAGCGTTTCCACGTGTGCATCAAGTGGCTTGATTGCCGTAAATTTGTTGACTCGGGGCCAGGGTATTAGTTATTAGGAGGAACGACTTAACCAGCATTCTCACTTCTCGTCTTTCTCGAGCGGCCACGATTCAATTAGTCAGCCGGCCTCCGCGCGAGCCGCTCGGGTCTCGCGATCGCTTCCGAAGCGCGTTCGTTCACACTGGGTCTTACTTCCGATCTCGCTTCCGTTCGATTCTCGCACCGACTTCATTTCTGCCCTGACGACGACGACGACGACGACGACGACGACGATCGCCGTCCGCGCGCGCGAGTACGAACCGTGCGCGAAACACTTTGCGAGTGCGAGACTTTGAAAGTCTGCACTTCGCCACAGACCGGCTCATTTAGCCGAATTATTATCTTTAACCTTATCGGCCAACATTCGAAAATACAACTGAAATAGATACGCCGTTGCGATTTTACGTTACTCACACTTGCGCTATTTTCTATGCTCGCTTCGACTGCGGAATCGACTCCATGTGCCTCGCGCGTCACACTCGCAAAAATGTCATTGCGATCGCGACGATGCGTACGCATCCGACGACGGTGTTATCTTCCTGCCTTCCTTCGTTTCTTTTTCCTCCCTTTTTCCCTGAAAACGACGTCGCACCTCAGAGAGCCCGCGCCGCCGAGACTCCAAATCCATGCGAGTTCATCTAGATAAGATACGTGGTCTTTGTCATGTTTATAATTTACATAAACATGACAGATGCCTTGCGTCTCTTCTTCTTTATCGCCGTCATATATTATTCACGGACGAGATACAGATTCGTATCAGATGTCTCTATTAATCCAACAAGAAGCAAGCTTCGCCTCGGTAATTGTCGCTTAATCAGCAGTGCAATTGACACATTTGCATGTTTCCCGCGCGATGGAAAACCGAGGTTTCGCTTCCCTCCGCGAGTTATCGCGTATCGTGAGTCACGCGAACGAGGAAAACTAGGGGGAAAAAAGCGCCGAATAAACGAAAATTGCCGAATACGATATACATATATATATATATATATATATATATATCAGTGGCACGCGGCGCAATTATCGTTGATAGCGACAAATGCTTGATGACCGCAAAGTTTCGAAATCATTCGTGCAGCCAGGATACGAGTTTATGTAATAAAGACCGAATTGCCTCCGGTTAAACGTCGTTAGACACCTCGGTCCTCTGGAGCAGAGTACGCAGCTACAACTTGGCTTAACAATTTTCCTTCCGCGATATTACACACAGCGCGGACACACCGCGTAAAATCGCGCGCGTCGCGAGGAGCGCGGCGGGGATCGATTTCGAACAACGTATTTCTATATTACGGGGGGCGGATAGTTTTATCCGAGTGTTTCTCCACTACAGTCGCGTTAAATATTTCAGCAAGTTTTACTATACAGTACATTGAGGTGAGGTCGTTGCGGATTCTCCCGGTATATGTTGTATTCTCGCGCGTATCTTCCTGATTAACCGAGCTCTCGCCTCCCACCCGCCCCGCCTCCGACAGAATTTCGTTCCTTCTGTCGTGAGGAACAAAGAAGCGCGCGATTGCGCGTAATAAAAGTATACGCGTGCTCCAATAATCGCAGCCTTTGAGAGTACACTTTGTTTCCTCGCTTGCCACGAAAGCCACTGACGAAAACGCAAACTATCATCATTCGCGGCACGCTTCTTGACTGACAGCGGGTTCTCAGCAAGATTCTGGTCGATAAGAGAACCGCTGACGGTAACGACCGTCGAACGCTGGCGATGATGGCGAAGGACGCCTGACGCTCGAGCACCATCTTCCTTCGCGGCGCGCTAACAAAATCAAACGAAACGTTGCGCAACGGGGGGAATGGAATATTGAAGGAGGAATTTCCAGAAACTCTTGGCTCCAATTTTTCTTTTTTGCGCATTAATTCGGCTCCGATTCAGCCTCCGTTTATTTTACGTGTTGTTGCGATGGAAATTCTGTTATATCGATCCTCCGAATAACAGGGCGAATGCAACTGTGCGCTAGGAAACAACCGGTGAAATATTTATGGAACTATAATTGGCTCGGCCGGCGAATCTATTTTGCATGTTTCCCATAATTTTCCTCCAGATTTCATGACTCCTTTGTTCGCCGAGGGTGTTTCCTTTGTATCGACTGCAGATACACCGTTTGCGATACAGGATGGAAAGCTCCGCTGTGCAAGCATGAGCAATTTTTCATCCGCGAACATTTGTCGCGAAATTACAAAGAGAAATTTGTGTTGTTGAACTTTGCAACTCTGCCGACGAGAGTGGAGGAATGTGTGTCTAATTAATACGAGCGCGGCTTATCTGTATCGGTTAAACACTAGGCGAGAGGTCAGATAAATTGCAGAATCATTCCGCTATTCAGCGTGGAACGCTATTTTTCGCAAAACTGAAGAAAGCCGCCGCCCACGGCCGTTCACGGCAAGCCGTGAGCCGACGCGTAAAATGTAACATAACGAAATAAAGTTTTAACGTGTTCATTTGGACCGAACATTCGGCCGTTCACTTTTTCCACGCCATGTACGGTCGTATGGTGGAAATAATTTTTCAACACCGAGGAAGAAAAATACGCGCTTGTCGGGGGAAGGATTTTACTTCGCGACGCAGTATGAAAATTACCCGCGCCCGGCCGTGTAATTTTGATCGCGCTCTTTGATCGCCAAACTACCGACTCTGATTTCGACGTAATTAAAATAGTCAAACGCACGCTTGCATATCCCGGGACTAATTAACAAGAGACGTGCCAGCAACTCTCGCGCGAGGAAGTAAACGGACATTGACTCCTCTTGATCCTCCGGTCAGCAGTCCTCGCGTTGCTCCTGTCTCGCGGCGCCAGCTCCTGATCCCGTTGCAAACCTGACAAAAAGAAAAGGATATCTGCCAAGGTTGAAAGATACGGGCCGCAATTACTATTCGTACCTGAACGGTGATAACCAGTCGATGCATAATAAGCGGTTGCATGTCCGTTGCGAAAACGTGTCTCCGTGTCTCCCACTTCTCTCTCTCTCTCTCTCTCTCTCTCTCTCTCGCGCGCGCGCTTTTGAACTACGACAGCTTAAGTCTTAGGCAAGCTGAAGAAGCGTCAGTGACGCGCGAGCGTGGAAAGTGAATGAAGCAACTGACGGCTGAGACGTGACGCGCGAGGATCACAGCTCGTCCGAAAAATGTGGCCGCTCGCGCTCGTGACAACCTTGGCATTGAGTGGCGCCGTGGCGGAGACAGTGAATCTACGCCAAGACGTATGTAGATGCTGCTATATAGCTGCTATATAGCGCGCATAATCGCAACATCCGTTCGAATTCTGTGCGTTCTTACGAGACGTGCAGATCTGCACTTCCTCCTTCAAACGCCGCTAAAATCACGCGAAAGTCCCGCGTCGTCCTCGAGTGAACGCGCGGCACAAGTCGAAGGTGGGAGACACGGGGTGCTCGTTCGCGAGATCTCCATCTGCTTTTTTCACACATTTTGATCCTCTGTATTTTAAGGGGACTGGAGAGTCAGATCGCTGAAAAATCGTGCTTGTTTTTGATAATATTTTGCGACGAACTGAATAAATGCGCAAGAATGAAAATTTTAGATGTAAAAATTTTGTTTATTAACATGTAAATATACGATATATACATATAGCTGAAATATACTCTCTTTTTCTTTTTCAAGTTGTCGCTTTTGCGGTAACATCTCGGCTCTCGATGATCCGATCAGAGCGATTTTAGCCAGAAATCTTGAGGAAGCTTATTATCATTGTCCGTTGAACCACTACAAAAAGAAATCGAACAAAATTAACAAACTGGCAGCTATTATTAGGAAAAAATCCAAATTTTTCAGTTCTTTTACAATAAAAAAATTAATATCCCGAAATGAAATATTTTAACGTAATTGTCCATGGTTTATCTGAGAGCCAGATGAACAAATATTATTGCTTTAAAATTTCAAATCGATACGAAGTTCAGTTTCGGAGAAATCATTGCAAAAAGTTAAACAATAAAATTTCGAGAAAAACACGTTTAAAATTTAAGTTGACGTATACTTAAATGAATATTTGTTGATAAAAAAAATTGTTCTACTCTTCATATGTTATATAAATATATTTCAAATTTTCATTCTTGCACATTTATTCAGTTCGTCACAAAATATCATCAAAAACAAGCACGATTTTTCAGAGTAATCTGACTCTCCAGTTCCCTTAATTATCAGAAACCGGAAAGTTCAGTCTTAGGCTTCAAGAGTATGCGTGATGTCATCGCGTCGGTCGATCTGTCATCTGCTACAGCTGATGTTGTTTATCAAATGCAAATATGTGTGTATGTGTGGATGAAGAAGTAAGCGTTTCCAAGTTTAGGAGAGAAATAATTCCGGAGGTGCTTTCTGGATTTCATGTAATTATGAAACTGTACACGCAAGAGTATTTTGGACTGTCGTATCGGCCACAAGTGTCTTACAGCTCATCAGTTTTCTATGGAGATACCTATAAGACGCGCAAAAAAGTTGCGTTTGAGGGCAGAACATTGTCGTTTGTTGAAAACTTTTGAAATTTTTAGAAAGACAGAGAACGAGACGACAGGGGAAGGGAAATACTGCATCAGTCACACGCTGGAGAATTACGCGTTTTCGATATCTCGCAAATATGTCAATTTACTTCTTCAGGGAGAGGAGCAAGTTCAATCAGATGTTGCTAACAGAGATCCTGCAAATTTTCTTTCAACTCGTATAATTAAGAAGAGAAGAATCGACTCGACGTTTCTATTTCGATAACGCATTTTACCGTGTTACATCGGTATTTTGGACCCGAATATTATGATTTAACCAAACTCACGCGTGTGACAAACAAATATTTCTCGAATTCGGTGAAAAAAATTTCGCAGCGAGCGAGTTGTGCAGACGCAACGTCATATTATTGTGTCTGTGCAAAGTTTTGTCTTATCATTCTACTAGACAACGTCCGCTTTTAGCTACAAGCAAAGTTAATTTTTCACCGCGTGATACTTTTCGTAGGCACACACACGAAGGCGTATCAGTCATTTTGATAAATGACCAATCTGTGCTCTGCGATAAACGCAACTCATTGCCCATACTACGCATTAGCTCGGGTCTTGTTAATGAAACGCGATGAGCGTGTCAGACTTATCGCGGCTTCATGTAATTATAGAGAAGAAATAGAAAATATTTCTTGCGTATGTATGTGAATCATCTATTTTCTCTAAGCATAAAAACAACTACATTTCACCTCGCGCGTATTTGCGTTCCACGCGAGAAGTGAGCATTTCCGACAGGTTGCTCGGCAGAATGAGGCCGGTGTTGAGAAAACAAATAACACCTGAAAGCCTAAAGATCGCCCTTCCGTCTCCTAAAGTTTAACGAATCTCCCGTCTCAAGTCCGATAAATAACCAGCAAAACTGCCGTAAGCGTTTTACGATACACAGCGCGCACGTTCGCGCATAGATCATGAGATCCGAGTGCAAGCTTATAAAGCGGCAAATTGCTTCTGCCGATTGATCATTGTTCTTGACTTCGTAGTCCAGATAGGAGTGTCACTGATCGAATGGAAAGCTGAATACGTTGCTTGAATTTAAAGTCGCCTCTCGCGCGCGCGACGCAGCTCCGAAACTCAATTGAAGTTCCGAAGCGCTCGAGAGAGAGAGAGAGAGAGAGGGAGAGAGAGGGAGAGAGAGAGAGAGAGAGAGAGAGAGAGAGAGAGAGAGAGGCGTCGGGAGGGCAACGCGTCGCCTCTTAAATAAATCATCCCGATGGCAAATGATTGCAGGACACGCAATACAGTTTCGCGGTCGACTACGACAACAATCAGTTCCTGCTGGACGGGAAACCCTTCCGCTACGTTTCCGGTAGTTTCCATTACTTCCGCGCTCCCAGGCAGTACTGGAGGGACCGTCTAAGAAAAATGAGGGCCGCGGGACTCAACGCAGTCTCCACGTAAGTCGGAGCCCCTCGGCTTATCGGTCCTCCACGAAGACTAATTGTCAGCTACTTGATTGTTCACCGGGCAATTATCATCAGCCTTGTCATTATTCGTTTTGCGTCATCAGTACCGTAACGGTACCATCACTTTTAACAATGCGCATCATTTTTAACAACGCACGAACGTCCCGATTCGCTCTAGATCCGTTGTACTTCTTTTCTTCCTCCTCCCTGTTATGCAACATATCCACCTAATAGAAGTCTGTTAAATGAAAAAATGATAAGAGGGTAACAGATGTTACGCGTCTGCCACTTTGTTTCCGCACGCAGCTACGTCGAATGGAGCCTTCACGAGCCAGAACGAGGCCAGTTTAATTGGTCCGGTGACGCGGATATAGTAGAATTCTTAAGCATCGCCGAGCAGGAAGATCTGCTCGTATTGTTGCGGCCGGGGCCTTACATCTGCGCGGAAAGGGACTTGGTAATTATGTGTCATCGTTTACTCGTTGGCGTAAACAGCGACGTCGAACGAAGATACATCCCGAAGCGATATCCCGCTTTCCGTTGACACAACAAAGTTTGGTACAGCAGAGAGATAAGTGCAAAGAGAGTCGTTCCTCTCTCTCTCTCTCTCTCTCTCTCTCTCTCTCTCTCTCTCTTTCAGCGCCATATCTCACGAGAGAGATTTTTGTCGGATTCATGCACCGCGTTTTATCTAGCGACGGAAATGTCGGGATTCGCGCTCGGAGTTTCGAGCTCTCGCGCTCGCCACGCCGCGCTCGCTACGGCACTGAGCGAACGCGAGGGAGCCGGCAAAATGCGATTATAAATCTGCGATCTTCTTGTGTATTTGGCTGCAGGGTGGTTTGCCGTACTGGATGCTTCGGGACGCGCCGGATATAAAATTGCGCACGAAGGACGCACGTAAGACACATTTCTTTCCACTTTCTACGCGGCTAGAGAGAGGAAAGAAGAAGAGATCATGGGGAGATACTTTTGCACCCTGCTGCAGCCATCCCCTCCCCCTCGTTCGTTATTGTTCGGACAAAATTGATGAATAGAATATCGAGACGATATATCGTGACGCTAGCCGCGATTAAACCCAGTCCCAGCGACTCATCAATTGCCCGGTTCTTGCAGATTTCGTGGGGAGCGCTGCGCTTTACTTGACTAAACTGCTAGACAAGATAGAGCCATTTCTCCGAGGCAACGGAGGACCTATCATCATGGTTCAGGTAATATGAGACTGATAAAAAATGCAGTTGAAGAGTATATTTATCGCCGTTTGCTCAGCGTCAAAGGTTATCTCGCGAGATGATGACTGCGTTCTGCGGATGTGTTCTGCGGTGATGTGTTGCCCGAGAGTTATCACCCTTCGATTAAGATAACAGGGCTAAAACTCCGGCTAATGCCGTAAACAAAAGTAGAGATAAATATAACTCTTATTGAAACATGCTCGCAGCAGGAGTATCAAATCGTGCATCGATTGGGCAACGAATTTCCAATTCCAACGATAAGAACGACGACGGTCCGTCGTGCAAGCGGAGATTTGGAAAGAAAAAATTATAAATATAATATAATGATTATAAAATTATGAAATATTTTATACAATGTGCCGCGCGACGCTGGCGGCGTACGGCGAACGGCGATTAATCGCAGAAACGCGCGAATGAGCTGCGCTCACCTCCGCGTTCCCGCAGGTGGAGAACGAGTACGGGAGCTTCAACGCCTGCAACGCGGAGTACCTGAGGATCCTGAAGAGGCTCTTCCTCGACAAGATCGGCGACAAAGCTCTTCTGTACACGACCGACGGCACGTCCGAGTCGATGCTTCGTTGCGGCACTGTACCAGGCGTATTCGCCACCGTCGACTTCGGCTCGGGTGGCAACGTCACCAAGGCTTTCGAGCCTTTGCGAGCCAAGCAGCCGAAAGTAAGTGACAAGAGGAGAATTCGACGGTAGAAATTGCCACGGAGCTTCGTGGCGGAAAGAAAGGAACGTTCCGCCGTTAGTTATTTCGGTCGGTTATCTTGCCTGGCGCTGCAATATAAAAAACGTATTAGGTGTGAATTAATTCGGTCCGGTTTTTCCTCCCAAAAAAAGACTTTAGTATGAAAAAAACATGAAAGAGTACACTAATCAAAGTATTTGCCAAGCGCTTGCTATTATTTTTTACCATCTGTCTGGCAGTTGTTGCATTCCGTGACGGAAAAACGACTCGTCCTTCGAAGCGATCCATTCATTCAGCCATTTCTCTATTTCTTCATAATTGTTGAAGTGCTGGTCCGAAAGTCCGTGTGCTATCGATCTGAACAAGTGATAATCGGATGGAGCAATGGTGAATACGGCGGGTGAGGTAAAATGTCCCAGCCAAGTGCTTCCAAGGTGGCCTTCACAATCTTTCCAACATGTGGCCGAGCGTTATCGTGCCTGGAAGATCACTTTGTCGTGTCTCTTTGCATATTCCGGCCGCTTATTCTTCAATGCGTTGTTTAAACGGATCAATCGTTGTTCGTTCGGTAAAGTTCGGCAGTGATGGTTTGGCTCTGTTTTAATAGTTCATAATACATTACACCCTTCTGGTCCCACCATATACAGAGCATTACTTTCTTGCTTTGGAATATTCCGCTTTGGTATCGATGTGGATGGTTTTCCTGGGTCGCTAATGGATTTCCTTCGTTTGGGATTATTGAAGTACGTATATCCACTTTTCGTCTCCAGTCACAATACGATGCAAAAAACCTTTTCTTTTTTGCCTGGCAAGCAAGATTTCAGACATGGCTTTTCGCCTCTCGATGTCTCTTTCTTTCAGTTCGTATGGCACCTATCTTCCTTCTTTATAAATCTTTCCCATGGCTGCTAAACGCACAAAAATTGTTGATCGATCAACATTCAACAATTGCGCGAGCTCATGTTGCGATTGACACGGATCTTCATCGATTAGCGCCTGCAATTCCTCGAACTTCTTCGGCTGACCTGAACGAGGTTCGTCATCGACACTGAAATCATCACTTTTGAAACGTCGAAACCATTCTCTGCGTGATTTATCGGTGGGAGCACTTTCACCATGAGCTTCTACGAGCATTCGATGAGCTTCAGCGGTTGTTTCCTTCAAATGAAAACAGAAAATGAGAACTTTCCGGAAATGATGCTTTTTTGGCTCGAATTTCGACATCAGATAAACACGATGTTATTGTTACAAACCCAAACGTTTATCAACTGAATATTATTGCCAGATATCAAAACTAAAGAATAAAGCCTTTCGCAGACATTAGAGGTTAGAAAATTACGTAGTACAGCAATTGACCACCAGCTGGACCGAATTAATTCACACACCTAATAATATGAAAACCGGTCACTGCGTTGCTTCAGCGAGATAAGCCTCACTGTGACACTTTGCTTCTGCACGCGCAGGGTCCGCTGGTGAACTCCGAGTTCTATCCGGGATGGCTGACGCACTGGGGAGAATCCTTTCAGAGGGTGAAGACCGGAGTCGTCGTGCAGACGTTGAAGGATATGCTCGACATAGGCGCCTCCGTCAACATCTACATGTTCTTCGGCGGCACGAACTTTGGTCTCACTTCCGGTTGGTAGATACCTGCTTCGGATGGAGCGAAGTCTCGCGCGCGCGCGCGTATATTTTACCCGGTGTATTTGACGAGGCGATAATTTACAGGCGCTAACGGCGGTTACAATGAGTTTAAGCCGCAGATAACTTCTTACGATTACGACGCTCCTTTGAGCGAGGCCGGAGATCCGACGGACAAGTACTTCGCTATAAGAAACGCCATCGGCCAGGTGCGTACCTCGCGCGCGATAATGCGCGATCGTAATCAATACTTAGCGCTCGCGTAATCGAGCGTGCAGTTCGCACACTTATTATTATACGGAGGAGAGATCGTGGGAAAGGCGTTACCCGCCTTGAGACTGAGACATCGATCTCCCGTTCGCGCGCGATGTTTCCGTCTCAAGGCGACGCCGTTTCTTCACGGTCAATGTCGAAATTGCAGTACTTGCCGTTGCCCAATATATCTCAACCAGCCGCGTCTCCGAAAGGCAACTACGGCCCGGTGCTGTTGGAACCGATCTCGAAGCTGCTCGACGACGACGACGACGACGACGATCTGTTCGTCATGAGCCGCTCGACCGCCGACTTCCCCAAGACCTTCGAGGCGCTGTCCGTCGACCAGGGTCTCGTGCTCTACGAGGCGAAACTCCCGTCCTCCATCCCGGACGAGTACACCTTGAACGCGAAGATCAAGGATAGGGGGCTGGTGTACGTGAACAAGCAATTGTACGGCGTTCTCAGCCGCACGGACAAGAAGTTTACGCTGCCGCTGAAGAAGTCTTACGGCGATCACCTGCGTATACTGGTGGAGAACCAAGGACGCTTGAATTACGGCAACGAACTTCGGGACTTCAAGGTACGCTGTGGAGGCGAAAGCCGCCGCGGGAGGGGGCGGGATGATAATTCGCGGCAAGCTCGAGATTCCTCGGCTCATGAAGAAGTTTCAGATGGACGTTCGATGAGTTTCATGAGACGAACGTTTTCGGCTATTCGGTAGGCGTCACACGTGCCTTGATATCGTGACTAGTACTTACACGCGATTGTCGACCTCACACGATGATGAGGTAACACGTGAGCTTGAGATCGCGGGGAAAATTAGCAAAGAAGTGTCAAGGCACCATACGACGTTTGGTCCATACGCCGCACCTCGGCGTTAACAATCGCGTTGTTTCTCAGGGTGTGTCGGATGTAACTATCGACGGGATCGAAGTGATATCATGGAACATGACGGGCTACAGCTTCCCCGACGTGTCCATTCTTCGGGGTAAGGAGAGCATATCGACAGATGATGCAGACAACGGGACTCTGAAGAGCAGCCCATTATTCCTGCGCGGACGCTTCTCGGTCGCGGGACAGCCGTTGGACACGTTCCTGGATACTACCGGCTGGGGGAAAGGAATGGCCTTTGTGAACGGCCACAACCTCGGCAGGTACTGGCCGTCAGTCGGCCCGCAGATCACCCTGTATGTGCCGGCACCGTACCTGCGTCCGGGGGACAACGAGCTGATCGTGCTGGAATTCGAACATGTGTCCCCGACGAGGAAAATGAAGTTCCAGTCTGTACCGAACTTCGGTTGAACCGCTTAGGTTCCCGAATTTGCGCGCGCAATCTCGGTGACAGGACTGAACACGAACGCGCAGACGGAGAGCCCCCCAGTCAGCGCGCCAATATATATAACGCGTCAGTGTATGTAACAATTGTGAATTCTGAAATTATACCTCATGCAACGTGAAAGTTGATTTTGAGTCCTGTGCTATTAACATTTCATCCTCCCTCAAAGGTAACCGTTCACAATCGCGGAACTGCAGCACGATTCTCTGGATCGCGATCAATACCAACTCGCTCCTCTCCCTCCTCCATGAGATGAACCGAAACGCGTTCGCGAGACGGTTCGACGAAAAGCGCAGCCCCGACCCGGAGATCGAAGCAAACACTGAAACGCTGCGGCAGATCCGTCATATATATTAGGTGTACAAATGAATAATCCAAATTATTTTAAGCAGTTATGAAATTAATTTTAAATTGAATAGATTTTCCCGTTCTTTCGTGATTATGCAATGTTGACATATAGCTATTAGAAAGAACACACAGTTTGGCGAAAGGCCCAGCATAACCTTCAAAAGTATTCAGTTCAGTACAGCCGAAAATGGCAACAGATAAGGTGCATATCCGACACTGCATTCTTTAGGAATTCCAACAAGGAAAAAATGCTGCAAGAGCGTGCGATTCGATTTGTTCCTTTCTCGGCAAAGGTGTTGTATCGTACAATGTGTACGCATTTTGGTTTAAGCGGTTTAAAAGCGGTAATTTCAGTTTAATCGACAAACAACGGCCTGGAGGCCCTCCGAAGTGCGATAATGATGATTTGGAACAACTGCTCGCTGAGAATTCGGCACAAACACAAAAAGAGCTTGCAGAACAGTTGGGAGTAACGCAGCAAACGATTTCCAAACGCCTACATGAGATGGGAAAGATCCAGAAAGAAGGAAAATGAGTGCCTAACCGCATGAACTCACTGAAACCAATAAAAATCAACGAGTGGCAGCGTGTCTTTTTCTTCTCAATAAGCAGCGTCGAAGGCAGCTTTCTTGTGGAAAATCGTTACAGGCGATGAGAAATGAATACTCTATGACAATCCGAAACGCAGAAAGTCATGGGTAAATCCTGGCGAATCATCAAAATCGGTCGCAAAACCCAATCGCTTCGGAAAGAAGGTTCTCTGCATTTAGTGGGATGTCAAGGGCGTGCTTTATTATGAGTTGTTGGAATCGGGTGAAACAGTTACCGCGGACTGCTACCAACGTGTCAATTAATCTGCTTGAGTCAAGAATTGGAACGAAAACGCCCGTATACTGGCAAAGGAGAACCAGGAGTCCAGTGAAATTGTTGCGTGACAACGCCAGGCCACACACATTGCTTCCAATACAAAAGACACCATAATGAATCTTGGCTGGGACCAGACATTGCTCCATCCGATTATCACTTGTTCCGGTCGATGCAACACGCCTTGTCCGATCATCCATCACTTCCAATCAGTGGATGAGGTCCGAAAATGGCTTGACAACTTTATCGTGTCCAAAGACGTAACATTTTTCCGAGATGGAATTCATCAGCTGCCTGAAAGATGGCTTAAAGTTATATTGATATAATAGATAGCAATAGAAAGCAACGGTGAATACTTTGATTAAACAATTTAACGTACCTTCTTTTGAAATAAACCTTGAATGTAGCTGAAAAAATTGGATTATTCATTTGTACACCTAATATTTTTATTTCCAAGCTGCACCGCCACATACGACGGAATGTCGGGCTGAACTTCCAGGCGCTCGAAACGTGCGAACATTTCCTACGCGACTTTTGCTCAAACTGTAGAGAACCCAAGCCAAGGGAAGTTCATTACAAAATGAGTCGCGTCCGTTTCATCAGCTCGCGCTGTTAATGAGACGCGCGACGTCGATGACGCGTCGTTTAAGTAAGGCCTTAAACGACGACGATGATGTTATCGACGAAATAAAAGGACCAACAATCCGAGCTTCGTTTCCACGCTGCTCGGCTCACCGGGGGTTTGTCTACCGCTTCGTCATTCGGATACACGGGACACGGAAGGGCGAAGGGTTCACACAGCGGGGGCGGGGGGTAGTTTACCGCGTCGCGCGGAAATCGATCGGCTTCGATAATGCCGCAACGCTACACAGCAAAAATATGCGCATTGTCGCCTGATGGTCGATGAAGAAGCGATTTGTAAAGATCCCGCGGGCCATTCAACGGCTTTAATATCCTCCGCGTTGACAAATGAGGGATCAGCACGTCGGGACGTCCGATAGCTCTGCCCCGGTGCCACACGACGCGAATTATCTCACCTCCGCCGTTCCGAGCGAGCACTGCGGACAATAATGAGCAGGGTGACGAAGCATTACCAGCCGCCCGCCCCGTGAACTTCATTTACGGCTGTGCGATGAGGTGCGACAGGGCGGCGGCAGGGAGAGGGAAGGAAGGAGGGAATGCGCATCTCGAGATCCGACGGACAATTGCGCCGGTGCAAAACAATGCTTGATTCCGACAGCGACACGTGCGGCCGGCCCAAGGGTAATTCCCGGCTTAGGAGCGTCCGCCGAAACAACAATCAGGATTTCGGCGTCGATCGACCTCGACGCGAGAAGTCGGCGGAAGTAGCGATGCCGGGAACACACCATCCGACGCACACCTTGGATACCTCGGAGTTGCTTGTTAAAAACAGCTTTCTCGCTTTCTGCCCTCTTCCTCACATAATTCCGTTGAGTCGCTCTTCGGTCGCAGCTTCGATCCACCCTGTCCGTGAGAGGAAAATGTTGGCGGAATGTTGGAGAAGGATCCCGCGAGCAAAACCGCGGCATCTGACTCGGTTCATTGGCCGATTTGTTTCCGTCGAGTGCGATAAAATCAAACTCCTCACAGAAGTGGAGCGACGTTTCTTCTTTTTTTTTCCTCTTCTTCTTCTCCTTCTTCTTTACCGTCTCCATCTCGAGATCAGAGCTGGTCCCCCCCCCCCTCCCCGAACTGGTCTCCTCGTAATTTTTCACGCAGGTCGCTCCGCGGCGCTCCGAATCGTCGCAAACCCTCCGTTTGTACTCTTCACCGCCGTTCCCCCGCGACTTGCGTGCTACGTATGATGCTGAACACCCGAGGAATCCCGAGGCGCGCCGCACACAATATCACAAAGCACATTATCCGGACGGCGATGAAACTCCGCCCTATGCGAAAACGCCGCGCCTTCGACATGCGCCGGAGAGTCGTTTACGGCGAGTCGCCGCACCGCTTCTTCCCTCTAATCATCCGAGTTTAATCTGTCCGAGGTGGTAAGATGTTACGCGTGCGAAGAGCCGTGTAATTCCAGCGGCCTCGCTCAAATTCGTCAAATTCGTCGCTCTGTCCCCGCGCGCGCGCGCGCGCGTGCGGCGATCGGCCGGCCGGCCGGCCGACCTCGCCGAAGTCGTCGTACGCGAGTAGACAAGAAGTCGCCGTAATGTCCGGTAAGCGCGCGCGCGCGCGCGCGCGGGAAAACGGGAGAGACCCCGTCGCCGTTTGAGAGACACAGCACCGTCTCTCTCTCTCTCTCTCTCTCTCTCTCCGTGTTTGCGATAAAATACCAACCGAGCAAATCTGTTGACAGTATGGAACGTGATGCAGAACGCGCCATTGGATCTGAGCAGACGCGGGAGCGCGTGGAAGAGCGGCAGTGTGGTGAACGCTTTGAAGTTCCAACGGCGCCTCCCCTGCCAGGTCTGCGGCAAGAGCTTCGACAGGCCGTCCCTGCTGAAGAGGCACCTGCGAACGCACACCGGTGAGTTGGAGCGACACGAGGTTTCGTTCCTCTTGCGACACGAAAGGCTGCGAGCCTATACGCGAAAACGACTCTGCGAGAGGTGCGAGCGACTTTTCTCTCAGCGCTCAAGCAGCGCACGTTCCCTCCCGTACGAGTACGAGAGGTTGTTCTTTTGTCAAGCAATCGACACGAGAAATCTCTTTCTCAGGGGAGAAGCCGCACGGCTGCACGGTATGCGGCAAGATGTTTAGCACAAGCAGTTCATTGAATACTCACATTAGGATTCATACCGGTGAACGTCCTCATGAATGCCCGATGTGTGGAAAGCGCTTCACCGCTTCGTCGAACTTGTATTACCATCGCATGACGCACTACAAGGTTCCTTCCCTTGAACTTTCTCTCTCTCTTCAGACTAGTTCGCATGTAACGAGAGACTTGAGAGTAGACAATACCAGAAGCGTGCCGACTCCTCTCTATCCGTGGACCCCGTGGACCGCGCGAGGGATGCGTGCACGTCGATGGCTCTAACGTGTACGATGATCTGTTGAAACGCAGGAGAAGCCGCACAAGTGCGACGAATGCGGACGCTCCTTCCCGACTCCCGGTGACCTGAGGGCCCATGGATACTCGCACACCGGTAACTGGCCGTTGCGTTGCCCCGTCTGCAACAGAGGATTCTGCAAGCTCGGCGCCCTGCAGCATCACGTGAAATCGCACGGTAATTCTCTCAACGAGCGATCGCGCAATAGAACATCAAATCTCTCGGTCCGTCATCCGTCCGTGGATCTGTTTTCGTGGACGTTCGAGTTCGCTCCTTCAGGGGCAGGACCTGCCCCTGAGAGAGAGAGAGAGAGAGAGAGAGAGAGAGAGTGAAGAAACGGCCAGGTCGCTCCTCTCCCCAAGGGAGCGGACCAGGATGCTCCGGGATGCTCCGGACAAAAACAGATCTACGATGTTGTCCACTGAGTTGTACTCCGGCCGAGAGGCCGGAGAGAGCCGGATGAGACACGGCGAAAAGACAAGCGATAAGAAAGCTCTCTCGGATGTCGCTCAATCTACGAGAAAATTGCCAATAAAGACCAACGGGAGTTGCTTCGTTACGAGTAACGAGGAACAAGACGAGACATTTTATTTTACCGTTCATCGTCGATCAAGCCATTTACTTATCGCGTGATCGATAAACGTCTCGACACCGCGCGACAAATAAATACATACGTGTGAACGCGCGAACGCTCTTTTTCACGCAGGTGATTATCCGTATCGTTGCGGCGTCTACAACCAGAAGCTCCCCGTCATCGGCAACCTGCGCGTCCACGAGCGTCTACACGACTCCCACCACGTGTCGGGTAACGGCGCGGGAAGCTGCACGAGCATAGACAGCGGTATCTCAAGCGTCGAGATTATCAGGTTCGAGGGTCTCGACAATAATTACATGCACTTACCCGGCGCGTACTCGTGGCCGTCGTGGATGTCGTTGCAGTTTAAAAATTAATCCGACGTCGCGCGTCTCTTCGGCCGCGCGCAGTCCGGAGTTTATCTATCGCGGGGCCGACATCTCTCTCGTGAGGCCGACGCTTTTTGAATCTCACCTATCTCACCTTAATTAACGTGCGTGTACGCATGATGAGAGCGCAAGAACGGAATAATCAGTAATAATAATCAGCGTGATTAACAAGCGACGAGATATCGCGAGTAGACGAGAGAAGGGTGAGTCTTAACTGTCAGCAAGGCGATTCGAGCGAGTCGCCTTGATTGTTGCTCGCTGGAACATTTTGTGACATTTAGGAGGCTCAGCGTGTCTCGATGTCGCAGCGCATACTTTAGTGAATAATTTATTATTTACGATAGATCGTCGTGTACACTGTGTATAAGTAACGAGAGAATAAACTTTCGCCGTTTGAACTTCATGACTGTTGTAAAACGTTGAACGCGGAGTAAGACGTCTTGAGGATCTACGAGGTAAAGTCAGATCTTAAGCCAGCTTACATATCCTCCAGCGAATAATAACGAGAAGCGAAAGCATGTACTGACATTGCCATAAGACTCCAAGGACAACGTTACCAGGAAACTGCTGTTAAATTGGATAGGTCTTGTGCTACGTTTCATGATCATCAGCAGGTCTTTCCGCTCACTGATCGTCAACAACATCCAATCGGTATGATACACCGCCTCGCTCAATCCTGTACTCTGCAAGTCCCAATAACCAAGTTCTCGTTAGCAAAAAAAAAAAAGAAATCTGCAATTCCTCGATAATTTGCAAAGCATTTTGCTCTGTCTGATGTCTGTGTGTCCCCTGTACGTCTTCAGCCTTCAGCCCTCGTATTACCTCGTAATATTTGTTCGAGATATTCGTGAGATCGCACGATCTCTCTCGTGATATTCGTAAGATGTTCATAGAAAATTAAGCGGAAACATTCGAAAAATGCTCATGAAATGAACATTTGGAGACACTGATCTAATGTGCCTCTGATGCTTCTACGAGACACGCGGACCATCTCCGTAAGTAGAAAGTTACAATCGCTACCTTAAGTATAACTTCGTTTCCTGCCCAGCAGTAGAACAAAATCTGCACAAACATGCAGATTGTATAGACGGCCAGGTTTGCGAAGTCCTCGAGCGTTACATGAGAAGACAGGTAATACACGGTCGAACACAATATCAATATACTACCGAAGAACTGAACAAAGACCACTTCACTGAACACCTCGTTGACCATTTTGGCGAATCTATAAATATTCATTCGCGCATTACCAGAGCAACTTGCCAGAGGGCGAGTCTCTACCAACGCCTCTACTCGAAAGAAAAATGCGATTGAATCTCGCGTAATCGCTTTAATCGCTCGACTAACCTAATTATACACAGATGATGATGAATGTGTCTCGCTAATTGACTCGCCTTGTTCGACAGGCTTTTGCTAGCTTCCTTCGACCCTCTCGACCGTGTCATCTCGTGGAGGCGATGCGTCAGGATTTCAAGTTGCGCGCACGTTTGCAGGCAAAATCCCAACACCAGCGTTTCCGTGGCGATGTTCACGGTCGTGCCGAGGATCAGACTTAACATCTCCTGAAGAGACGTGAGTAAGAACAAAAAGGGCGAGTTGTAGTCGTAGGGCACCCAACCTCTGTGAGGTAACTCGCCCTGCAAAACAGCGAACACCTCTCCTACCGTGGCGCCTGTGGCGGACAACGACGCCAGGACTATGTAACCTATGGAACATGATCTGGAGCACAACATTCGGAATGATGTAACAAGCGTGTGCGAACTTATAATCGAACGTCGCAGCGACGTCGGACGTGACCAACCTGATTAAACGATCGTATCTCGTCTGAATGGCTGTCTCCTCTTCGTTGCAGGCTTTGCAAGGTTCCCCTTGCAGTATGTTTGTCAAGTTGACGATTTGATCGCGGCGAATCACGGCGGTGATGGCTTTACATAACGCGCTCGAGAAAAACAGTATGTTCGTCGTGGCGAAGTCGTCCATGTTATCGATAACCAGAATGATATCCATCAGCTGAGTCAGCATCGCGAAGTTCAGCAAGTAGATCGTCATGACGGTGAACAAGCTGTACAGCAGCTTGGAGCAGTTGGACGACCCCATTCTATCGGCCGCCACACACCAGAGACGGTGTAGAATAGAAAATTGAGATGAAGTATCCGCATTTGTGCAATCGCTGTGCTATAATAAAAAAAGAACAAGAAAGATGAAAGGAGCAAGATAAATCCCTTGTGTTCTTCTTTCGTTCAGGAATGGCTCTCGAAAATACAGGTCCGATCACACGTGACGAATCTTCACGTATCTTCGATCCACGCGCGTACGTTCCTCCGCGTATCGGCGGAGAAGTAACTGACGCGCAATCGAAACGCGCGTGACGAAGGTTCGTAAGGCATTACGACCGACTGCGTCCTGCATCCTCAACTTTGCAACCCCGTACGGCTTAAAGTTAATGGCCGGCATTAATAAATTAATAGCGGGCGATGTGTCTCTCACGGCGCGTACACTTCATACTTCCCGGTATGGAAATGGCACAATTACGAGCCCCGCTGTCGTTTGATGGAATTGAGGAAGATTATCCGCGATATACATGTGCCGACATATTGTCGCGTTCCCAGGAAATTACGCGTACGTTCATTAGAGTGTTTATTCCGGAGCTTCGACGGAACTTTAATCCTGAGGCGCATCCTACGGCATGTCTCGCCACGCGGGAATTTAATTTTACATCTTGCACCACAAGCTGCACAGCAGATGCGATAGAAACTTGCAACGATATTAATATGACGATTCTGTTTACACGACGAGTGTGATTAAAAGACGATGGAACTTTTATTGTGTTTTATTTCAATATTAATAAGCTAACAGACGCTGGTCTCCGACACCAGAACGTAACGCTTTTATTTTATTTCCTATTTTTCCGATATTGATCGCGTTAATAACAGGTGTTTAAATGTTGATCAACAAAAGGACAAAATATCAACAGGAGACAGCGAGAATTATAATTGCTTCGAAGGAGAGAAACTCAGTCAGTTGACAATTTCAACGTCCTATTCCTATGACAAGTTTTCACCCCTCTCTCTGTAGTGATTAATAATAGTCGTTAATTGCAGTCACCAAAGCGTTCATACAGCGACGTTCTTAATAACAATCGATACTCACCCCTGTTGTGTAATTGTGTAATGAGTGTAATTATAGAAACATCCGTATACACTCGCAGGTTGCAAGCAGTTTGAAAGAAGGTATTTCACCCGTTCCAACATAGGGGCCGGTTTCCCGCCCCCTGAAAAATTTACTCACTTTGAGATATAACAGACTTTCGAAGAAGGACAGGTGCGAGACTTTTTTCTTTTTGTGAAATTTATCTTCCTTAAAGCGAATTTCGCAGAAAGTAAATGTGTGGTATGTGTGTAAAATAAGTTAATAATGTTTTTGACAATACGTTCTATGTAATTTTTCTCTGTAATCTTTTTTTCTATTTTATTTTTCATACACCTCTATGATTTTCGAATGCAGGAAATGATGTAATATTGTTGAAGAGAACAGGAGCATCATCGCGGCTGCAAGTTGAAGAAGGAGAGAAAGCAAATAAAGGAGGATACTGCGCTGCGCATTGCCTGACTGAACCTAACTCAACCTTGTATCACTTCTAACCTCGAATAATTGTTTCAATGTGCACCAAGTACATGCGGCTTTCACATTGTTTGTGAAACATGGATGTGTAAAATTAAATATTTATAATAATCGAGTTTACACATTGAGTTTTGTAAAATAGTGAAAAAGACAAAAATTTGAAAATTTCTATCTCCTGCTGTACACTGAATAATAATAATATTAGCCGGCTATTGATAAACTGTTGAAGACTATTGAATCATTTTCTGGAAGTACGTTATCATAAAACAGAAATGTTGAGGAATATCGTACACTTGTCAATCAGATCGATTCACAGCGCAAAATTTTTGAGAATAGATAATTTAACATCAACAACAAGGTGCAAATATTCTAGATGGGTCAGTCGAAGGCCTGTTGCAATAATCAATGAGGATGAGCTTTTTGATAAGGATGATAAGGACGATACACAGACAAAAATATCCAAGCCAGTTAAAAAATATATTTCTAAAGCACGTAAAGAAAAACTAAAGAAGAAAGAAAAGAAAAAACCAGAAGAAGTAAAGGAGGAAGTTGTTACAAATGGACCGATATACAAACCCCTTGATGAAAATGATAAATTTATAAGGTATGTAATATGTTAAGTAACACATAGACAACAATTGTAAATACTGTAACTTTTAGTCAACTATGTCAAGAGAGAAATATAATATTAATATCATATATGCATATTATATGTTTTAGCTCTTTGATGATAAATATCAGGACTAAAAAGAGAAGAGAAAAGAATGGCCAAATACTATTGGAAGGTTCTCGATTGATCCAAGATGCGATTCAAGCAGGTGTAATGCCACAAATAATATTCTTCAATAGATTAGCTGATGTGTTACAATTGTCACTTCCCAAGGAGGTACAATTGTATAAAATTCCATATCGGACAATTCAATTGTGGTCTACCTTAACAACTTCCCCTGGAATATTTGGTAAATATGTATTGATATTATAGATGTGCAAAATGATTGTATAACAATGTAACTTAAAGACAGAAGAACTTGATAATTGTATATTCATTGTTTTTCATACAGGAATCTTCGATATCCCAGATGTTGAGAATAACACACCTGCCAACGATGCTATACCTTTGACCATTATTTGTGATAATATCAGAGAACCTGGAAATTTGGGAAGCATTATAAGAACAGCCGCGGCAGTTGGTTGCGAAAAATTACTCTTGATGAAAGGTATATATTTTGTACTAACTATTACTAATTTCACGATTCAATGCTTTTCTCATTGATTTTCTCTTCTTCAGGATGTGTAGATATATGGGAGCCGAAGGTTTTACGCGGTGCTGTAGGTGCACATTTTCGTGTATCAATACACAGATCTCTCTCATGGGATGACATACCAGCATTAATAAGCAATGAATCAACGATTTATTTAACGGATAACAATATGACGTATGATCATGTATCAAGAGACAATACAGTGTCAGATACTTCCACCGAAACGGATTGGGCCGATACAGAAGATGGTAATTCAGATATAGACATCAATCAGAGCACTGAAACTGATAAAACGATAAAACCACTGAAAATTAATTCACACAAACCGACCGCAAAAACCAAAGCACTTGTGAGACAAATAATATCTCAATTTCCCATTGTACCATATCATACATTAGACTTTGCGAAAAAGGAAGTGGTACTTATTATTGGTGGAGAAACTGAAGGTATAAGCCTGCAATCGTGTGATTTACTTCGCGATAGGAACTGCATTCGTGTGAATATATCGTTGACTAACGGTATTGAAAGCTTAAACACTGCTTCAGCTCTTAGTGTTATAACATTTGAGATAAGAAGACAATTTATAACTCGTACAATCGGTAAAGAATAAGATTGTTTTGAAATATATACGGATATTTCATAAACCTGCATTTTATCATTTATGCACAAAAAGTAAGTTTAAGAAAATATATTTTTCATCAACGGTACTTGCGTAAATGTTACAGTTGAAAGAAAAAAAAAAGATATATAACATTCGGAATGTTTTTATTACAAAATTTTAAATATGCGACACAATCTCAATATATAAAGCTTAAGCTCTGAATACTGCGTAATACAGTAAAAAATTAAATATGGCAAAATAAGAAAAAAGTCGATTAGTACTATCTATGAATTACAGCCTCAAATGTGTTTCATATCTGATGTTCTCAGGCAAATTTGCAATATATATATAATATACTATATATGTATTAATAACATCTAATAAGAATATATATGTTGTAACAAAAATAGCAAAAATAATACTGCTATTTACAATCGAATATAAAATAATTTCTAATCTACATCATCTCTCAGTAATGAAAAATATAGATTTTAAATTTCTATTTAATTGCTGAGATCTACGGGAAGTTTATGGCTCATTCTACAGTTAACAGTCCTTCCTACCATAATTATAAAGCTTAAAATATCGAAATTTCATAAAGAAATTAATAAATTATAGAGAAATATTATAAAGATAAACCTAATGCACTACGATAAATTAACGTTATCAATGTATGATCAAAACGTTAATTCAATATATACGATACAATCGACTGATACAAAATAAGCGTAAGAAAATTCATACAAAAGTTCTAAGTAAAGTTCCAGGTGTATTTTTTGATTGACGATACACGTGTGGCAAGATCAATTGACGCAACAAAAGAGTATACGTTTCCAGCGACATCGTTTGTGATTGACATTTTTTCTTAAATTTATGTTGTATATGTTGGTGTCCGAGGTGGCTTCGCTTAATAGAGAGCCGTGAACCGATGCAGTCTCGTTATCTTGAAACCATTCCGGACTATTATCATATATTAAGATATGGCTGGATTCTACGTTAGTTACTTTGTTGATTTTCAGATCTGAGGTATTTTGATTAGATGCGAGTGTTGTACGAGAAGCTTTTGATTTGCATTGAGGGGAATCCTCGTACGTGTTAGCTTCCGAATTCGTGTCATGATTTATGGTTGCATCAGCCACTCTTACAGCTTTGTCAATGGGACACGCCTCAGCTTCTAAGCTCGGTAGATTCAAATCACTTTTAATGAACGACTTCTCTCCGGACATGGTTGTTCGAAACGGCTGAAACGCTAATCGTGCATAATTTAACGTAAGATCGCCCTCGTTATAGTCGAAGACGGGCGTTGAAGGAGTTTGAACCTCGTCGGTATTTTTCCGTATCTCTACTTTAACGTGTGACAATATCTGTTTTTCCAAAAATATCCTAAACGTACGTTTACTTAGTTCGGCATTTTTCAGATTGGTTCTACACCTTCTTTTGTGCAAAGCGACAGAGCCATCGATATCTGTCATCATTTCGGACGATTGTGGTCTATAAAAGAAATCGGTGATATCATGTTGCCAATACAGAGAACAAAATGTGGGGGGGCTGTCACTGGTAGAATCGAGCATGCTTTTATCCTTACTGTTAAAATCAGACGAATTCTGTACAGCGGTTTGGATATAACATTTATTAGAAATGTGACTTGAATCACTTAAGGCTTCTAATGAATTTTCCGCTACCGATTGTCACTTGCATCCAAAGAAAGTCTGATCGCTTTGTCTACGGTGTTGATACGTTAACGGCGCAACTAGTCGGTTATCCTGACTCTTGTAATATTCGTTAAAATCTAATCGTACGCTGAGTAACTGCAACGATACGTCTTCAGCAGAGGCAAGCATAAGTAAAAATTTTTTCACACGATCCTGGAAAGAGAGAAAAAAGATAAATTTATACGTATAATTCGGGCATAGAATATCAAAAATCGACTACACTTTTCCTGAATAAACAAGGGAATCGTGAATATTTAACAAGCACACGACATTAATATATTTCACTTTATCATTACTTGATAAGTTCTCGAAAGTAGTTTCAGTTGTCTCGAGAACGTGTTCAGATACTTCGAAAACGCCGCTTCTCTCTCCACAGCTTCCTGATCCTTTTTATTCGTACGGTCCGATTTCTTCGGTTGCGCAAAACCATCGGTTTTTAATCTCGCTTCGTATTCTTGAGTAGCACGCACCAGGAAAGTTTCCTCGTGATTCTGGAGATCCTGGATCGGGTAGTAGACGGAGCGTAGGTGATCCATCAGTTTCTGCAATATCGCCGAAGTAAATACACGTGCATTACAGCAGCATCCGTCCGAGTATAATTTAATTTCACGTACCTGCGACTTCTCGTCTAATAATGTACCATGTCTGACAGAATCGACAAAATAATTATGAGCCACGATTATGTCGTCGAGAGACGTTGCCTGAACAAGTTGCTTCGCGAATGTGTCCCATGAACACTCGATCACCTTCAATCAACACAATCAACTCTCTCACTTGACATTCGACGTAAAAACTCTCACAAGGCGCGTGTTAAATCGTTAACGACGTATCTCGAGCTGAATAGTCCGGTGACAACGCGTGTTACCTCGAATAAAAAGTAATATAGCATCTGATGAACCAAATGGACCATGCTGCTGGTGATCAAGTGTATATGGTTCTGGATCGGCAACACTTCCGGCATTCTTCTGAACATTTTGGCCGACGTCGTCTGCCGCTTCCAAATACCGGACAGAATCGACTCCATCCTCTTTGCCCGCCATAACGCGAAGAATACCGTTTGATACGTCTGCCTGCATGGCTCCAGAATCTAAACAGTAAGCATTCGTTCATTCATCGATTCAGTTCATCAAACGTTTAACGAACTTCTTAACCGATGCATTGTAATCTGATGACACTTACTGTGCCTATCGGCCCGTCGACATTATAATCTAAATAGAAAACGTCCCATCCTGTTTCGTTTTCTGAAGGATCTAATAATCTGACGTCTAAGCGTCTCTGAACATCTAAGTCGTCCAATTTTGTACTGGTCGCTCTTATTGCGGTATCGAGTATAGATGATATGTTATGAGGATATAGGGAATTCGATGGCTTAGCCAATTCGGGCCTGAAATGTACATTTTGAAATTGCTTCGACTACACACAACGAGAAGACAACTCGCGTTAACGAGATAATCTTACCCTAATAAGTGCATCAGGTGTTGGATAAAGTGGCCTTGGCCAAGCAAGAGGTAACTCTTGATTCCCTGTAGGTGTTCCATTAGATGATACTGTTTCGTTAATATCTCGACAACTCTAGCCGCGGTTTCCTTGTAAGCGGCGTCCATCGTAGTTTGTAAGCGACCGTCCGGGTCCATATCGAAAAAAACCTCAACTAAAAGACCAACAAAGTTTTGCATCAAGTATCTTCTTAAGTTTGACGCGTTTGCAACGAGCTACTTGGTATCTCAATTCAATTCTAGATAAATTACAATGTCTGATCCGCAAACGTTTACCAACCATTATATACTTCGTCGCCATTTATGAACATATCCGTGTGTCTGCCTTGCCACGGCGTAAAATCTTTGCAAACTTCGCGCAAAAAGTTGATGCTCTTGCCCGTCCCCAGAATCTTCTTCGCTTGCGCCTTGCTGATAAACGACGGCAACATGGAATTTTTCACCTGGTACTTGTCATGCCACATTCGGTCGCCGCTAACATCGGCGCACGCTTGAATGAAGAACTCTTTATACGGATCGTCCAATTCTCCATCAGCGATCCATTTCATTAACATATTGTACAAGGGACTACAGACACTTTCCAAGATTCTCTTGACAAGATTCTTCACGTTCGCGTCGCCGTGACAGCTAAAGTTGTAAACGGCAGACGCTAATGCACCGCCTTTTAGACCTTGACAGGCTCTCACTATGCTGGCCAACCACTTTAATGTCTCGAAAGGATCGCACGTCCAGAGATGCAGGTGAGAGAGTGTAACTCCGTACGTAACTATTTGATTTTGCGATCTGTTTCAATCGTAACATTAAATTATTTTATGTCGTATTTTAAATCACATACTCTTTCTTCAACCACATTTCTACCGGGAACTCCGATCTATTCAATGCTCACCTATTCACTTCTTCTTGCATTATGGCTATAAACCTATAATATTCTGACAATTCTTTATGCAGCGCAGCGACAAAACTGTCGGCGACCCTGCCTGCATTGGCCCCGGACATTCTCTCCAAACCTCTTCGCACTACATTATGTAAGTATCCCAGCTCACTCAGTCTTGAAACAGCTTGCCTTTGTGACCTATTAATTTTGGCTGTGGAATCTATCTGAAAGCCGTAGCTTGAGTCTAACTTTAAGATCTTCCCTTCCACACTTTGAAAAGAATATATCAAGTCCTGGACCAGTACATCTTCTGAAACGTACTCCTCATTGAATATTTTACTTTGGTTTACCAATAATCCTCTTGAATTTGTCTCTGTGGTATTCACAGACACGACTTGTGCTTGAGAACATGATGTTTGTGATGATTGCCCTAAATATAAAATCAATTAAACAATGCCTTGACAAATGTCACAATATTTTGTCCTTACCACTAGTGGATGCAATTGGACTTAAACCCAATTTCATGTCTGGAAACGAGAAAACTCTGTCCTTTATCTGTTCTGCTGGCTGACCCATGTTCAGCAAAAATATTAGAATACTTATGCGATTCTTCAGTGGCTGAAAAAGTAATGTTTATTAGAAAAACAGATTAGTAATAAATTAAAACATATGCCTAATATTAATATATTTTTAACATACTAAATTTATACTTATACATACATTATATAAATTGAAAAAGTTCAAAATAAATATGAAACAAAAGGATTTCAGAACAGTAACAATTTACATTACCCCATCTTTTAAATCACTGTGTAATTTATCAAATTCTATTGCATCACGCTCCGATAATTTGTTCCTTATATATGTTGCTACAGTTACTTCATCCTCTCTTAGTGTTTCTATACCATGAGTAGATGACAATAACCCAAGGGAAAAACGCATAAATCTTCTAATCAACTCTATAAAATATAAAAGAGATGGGAGAGACGGGATATTACTATGTATGTATATTATACATCAACTTTACATACATGTGTATATTTATATGTATGTATTACATACTATGTATCATACATCATTAATCATTAAGCGTTATGCATACGATACATACGATAATTGTAAAATTATGTGCTGTTATTTATGTACTGCAACATGTATTGTCATCAACAATTATGACAATTCTCCGGAATATATACATAATATATACAGAATAACTAACCTGGCTTCTGTTCACCGCAAAGAGAAATAATCATATTCTGAACTTGATCGGCAACAGTCTCAGCTTCCGTGGTATTCATTTTTGTACTGTTTGACGTTTGATATAATTTTTGCTATATATTAAGATACGTAAATAATACTTATTTTCCTCGCGACGCCGTTTAACGTGGTTTAACGTCTGCGGCTCGCGCTTATTAAAGGTGCAGAACTATCGATAACTATGCCATCGATAGTTTACAACATCGATAGCATCGACGGCAGGTTTACTTTAAATTACCGATAGTTTCCAATTTAGTTTCATCCTTCGCAATGTCATTCTTTTAAATAATAGCTTGCGACAAAATATTTTGTATTTTATTAATAATTAATAAATTCACTTATTTCCCTTAGATTAACAAATAAACCTACGAATCAATTAAAAACGTTATAATTTAAGTAAAATTAAGAATCAAATAATATCGTAAACCCTTTATTGATCTCTGTCAAAAGAACAAATCTAATTAATAATGTAACTAATAAAAAAATTGTTAATATTTAAATGTTATATTCATTAAAAGAGGTGTTTTAATTCACTGCATCTAAGAGAAACAAAATTATTTGTATTTTAAAGAAACAAAATTGTTACTTTAAAAACATTGGAGAAACAATTTATAATATATAAATTCAATGTCAATATTATTTTACATATAAAGTATAACCATGTAATATATACTGGTTAAGTACAAAACTAAACAAAGAAATATACGAAGCACATGTTTAATAAACGTTCGTTCTTATATAGATAATGGAGGATAATTTAAATTTTAAAACCATTTTCGATAACGTGCTTTTCCATATATCGAAATGGTAAATACAATTAACTAGGCTATGTACTTTGTTGCTTTTCATAATAATATATGGGTATCAACGAAGTTACAGTATAAAAATGACAAACATTTCCTACGGCATTTTAAATTACGAGTAGCCAGCTGAATGATGTGTTTCAAGAATTGTACAAGTAGTGTATAGAAACAGGGCTCTCTCTCTCTCTCTTTCTTTTCCTTAATCACAATTTATTCAATTCAATATTGTTCATCTTCCGAGCTATCAAATGGATTTTCAATCTGTCGCGGACGTCTAGCTCGTATTATGCAACAGTAACACCAGCTGTTTGTAGGTAATTCCTCAAGTGGTTTGCATTCGGTTCCGGAATCTGGCCTAATAATCCTGGCAAATGTCCGGGTGATAATCTTCCAAGACCTTGCGCCAAGTGCAGACGTATATCACCAATATCTGTCAACAAGCATACATAGTTTTACATAAACGCGATATTAAATAATCTCTGTAAATTTACATTACTCTGTAAATATTTGATGTAATTTAATACGACGAACATTCGAAAACTAAGAGTCGACTTAAAAAAAAAAATAATAATTTCATATAGTCCCATTAAGACTGATCTTCTTTCGAATATTCTTCTAAGAATAAAATCCTTACCTAAATAAACATATATGTTTACATATAATTCAAGGCAACGCAACATGCTGTAGGAAGGAAAAATTAAAGACGAGTACAGTAAAATACAACGTACTTTGTAAAGGATCCTTTGTAGGATTTCTCGCACAAATAAGTTGGCTGTAACCCACTTGATAGCCAACTGCATCATCGATCTCTGGGAACACGTCATCTTCTGGTGACACACTTTCATCCTGAGGAAGCTCGAAAAACTCCACCAATGCCGCCAACAAACGCGGATAGTATGTATTGTACGGAGCTTCGAGCATCGCGGGGCAATCGACCAGCAAATTCGAGATTCCCACAGCCACCACTTTGCGCTCTATTACACCCGATATCTTTTGCATATCAGTTATAAATACACGCTCGACGACCATCCCGAACATCCTACGAAACAAAGGATTTGCTGTGAGATTATTCGCTAAATATGCGAAGTATTGTTATACAATCACATCATACTACTGTGAAACTCACTGTGGTTGTATTTGATCGATAATCGTGATTAAGCTCGTCGATCCGTATCTAATGATATAATAGGCAAAAAATGCTATTAAACCTTTTACAAACTTCGTTGTTTTCGTAGACGAGAGTCTTTGAAAAAGAAGTACAAAAATCTGCTTCATATACGGCTCCAAAACGTTCCTGCAACATCCAAAAAGATTAAAAAATAAACGAATGTATGATACAAAACAGATAAGTCAAATGAGTGAGTTTCCGACTAAGTCCTTACGGTGCGAAGTACTCGATAATGCTCTGCATTAATAAAAATCCTTCGTGATCGTTCGCCTTCGACGCAATTAACTTTTGGAACACTCCCAACAATCCGCTTGTCTTATCTTGCGCTACAATGTGATGCGAGCCATGACTGACGAATGCTTGCAACAAACGATTCAAAGGATGGATATTGGCTTGTCGTTCGAATAACACCGGTGATAATAGACAGGGGAACAGAGCCATGTATGGCTCCGATAGATCTTGATTAGTTCGTAGCTCCAAAAGCAACGCGAGAATTTGGAAAACGTAAGGGATAAACTCTGAAAAGAAATAAAGATGCACACATGTGTGAGGTAAATAACCAATAACAGTCGCAATCTTTAATATCGTTCAAGACACTAATAATTATTTGCGATCATCTGCAACATGAAATAGCTCACCTAGTATATCCTGTTGTAAAATTCCTTGGAAAATAGGGAACAACGCTTGTTCAAAAGATGATACTGCTTCAGGATTCGTTTTGCAAACAATTCTAGAAGGAAACGCATTTAGTGTCATTTACTACTGCTAGATCTTGACTTTTGATAATCATTCTACAAGCATTGTGTTTTTTGTTTCTATTAAATTAAATTTATTGATTGGCTTACTTGATGGACAAGCTCAGGGTTTCAAAGAGATAATGATTGAAATTCGGCCGACTCGGATTTCTGGATACGATTGCGAGTTTCTCGGTAAGTTTCGGAAGTAAATCGGCTAAAAATGGCACCACAACTTCCTGCAAGATACCGAAACTCCTCATGATAGCCTTCATGACATATTCGTTTTCCTCAGAACCGGATGTGTTCAAGCATGCAAAGAGTCCCTTCAATAAATCTGCAACGAGTGGTGATAAATCGGCCCCTTTGACCCTATAAGATTGCAAACAATTTCAATAATTACCTATAGACTATTAATCAAGATAAATTTTGCTTTCATTTCTTACAGAGACAAATTATCAGGACCTCTCATCGCCAGTATCTTCTCAATTGCGCAAGCAGCATAACTGTGGACAACGATACTATTGGCACTTAGATGTCTAATTAACTGTGGCAAACTTCCTACTACTACTTCACGTGGTAACACTGATCTAAACGTCATTATGAATTTTATTCCATCCGCTTTCAGCACCGGGAACTCATTCACTGAAATTGTCATTATTATTTTATAACTTATTATCTATTGTAATAATTCATACGGGTGCCAAGATAATTGTGTATATAATATGCATTCAATACGTACCATTCGGCTTTGTTAGCTCCGGTTGGATATGTTGTTCAGCAAATTGTGGTAACGGAACGAGCTCGCTACTTTGAGTCACTCCGTGCTTCTGCGTCTGTGCTTTACTCGCGCTACTCGTAATGAGGTAAATAGCAGCATCTTTATTGCGCCAATTTTCTGACGGCTTCTCAGCATAGTTTTGCAACATTATCTAAAGATATGAAAAAAACGGAATACTTACATAATAATATCGTACAAAGTAAATCGCATAAAGTACTACAAGCTCCAGTGTATAAAGGTTCCTTCATATTTACCTGTATATATGCTCCAAAAATTTCCATAATTTTCACTTCGAAATATTTAGACAATACTTTAACTAAATCACATGCGGCACGTCTTCTGGTATCTATATCGCTGCCTTCGATATCTCGTCTAATATATTCCTCAGGATTATCCTCAAACAATTCATTGTCTGATTCTGCAAAATTATATTTTTAACGTGACTCTTAACGTTCAGATTCATCCTATCTATGCTTGTATTATTATATAGTTACCTCTAAATTCCATATTAGGTATAATGACTTTTTCACAGATACTACTGAGAGTTGTTGGATCTTCGAATAAATGCCTATATTGTGCCCGATCGGCAACTGTGGCCAGGAATTGCAATGCATTTGAAACTAACTATAACGATAATAAAACAATTTGCATATTATTTAATAATAAGTATATCACTAACATGTTAAATACCCAACTTTATCATGATCGTATTTACGTATATATGGAGGAAGTTTACTTACAGAGTCATATTTAGGTTGTTGTCCTGTGGATGTAAGCAAATTCCAAACTGCTGTAACAAATTCGGGTAAATATGGTTGAAATTCCTCATCATACTTTTGTGCATACAGGCCGACATTGTCGCACACCTGCGATTTCAACTGTTCTATTACACCTGCTTCTTCTTCACCCTTTAAATAAATATCATGTTAAAAAGTTTCTTCCGCATTTTGCATTTTTGTGCAATTATAATTGAAATTGTAAAATAAAATTAATATATAAATTACCACAGTTTGCAAGGAAGGTACATCAACATTCAATAAAGTATGAAAATTTCTCATCCATGAATCCATATTGTCCTCAAAAAATTCTGGTAGATCCTACAAATAGTATAAAATTCTTAATATACAAATTCTTATTAATATTTTATATATAAGGTGTTTAGTTAACAAGCAAATTGTCTTTCACTGTTGAGCTCAGTGTAGAGTCTTGTGTGTAATAGACTCCACTAAAAATAAAAAATCAATTTAATACATGGAGTATATGAATACTTACTTGATAATTAAGAGAATAAAACACTTTGCATAAGATAACTAAAGAATTATATATAACTGTTAAGGCTTCCGTATTATTAGCATGTGCTTGTGTTAAATTCATTGTAGCCTGTAAAATATTTTGTTTGGAATCAGTAACTTTATAAAATATTTTTAACACACACATACAACATAATAGTTAACACTTACTAAAAATAAATCTGTCAAAGGCTTCGCAAACTGATTCAGTACATATTTGATTTCTCTCCAGAGATTCTCGCTTTTAAATTCATACCTATACCTCTTGAATAAGGAATGTGCAGTGTGCAAAACCCCATTAATTATATGGAAATCACCAGTATTAAACTTTTCCACCATCTGATCAATCAATTCAGGCCACTTATTAGGAAAGTCATACTTTCCAATAATAGATACAGCATCTGACAACTGTTTTTGTATCGAATCCGGAGAATGCAACATTAAATTGATGATAAGTTGTTTAATTGCATATCTGTCTTCAGTATGTATACGATCAGCAGAATCTTCTTCCTAAAATTCAACCAGATTTATACATAGATGGAAAATCGTACATGTTACTGATGGATATGTACAATTTTTTTATAAAATAAATAACAAATGAAAGGTAAAACAATAAAAAATCATACTAGAATGAGTAAAATATAACATACCACTTTCCAATTACGTTTAATATAATTTTTAAACGCGACAGCACCAGCAATCCTAATGGTTATATTAATTTCAGACTTGTCTACTAAATGAAGTAGTAGTAAGGCATAGTTTCGATTGACCTCTACCGATTCCAGAAATTTCTCGGCTGAAATGTAAATCAAAATATTAATGTGATAAACATACAAAATATACAATGGCTGTATATTTTGTAAAAATATATGAAGGCAATAACGATTTTAAAGGTTATATCAACCTGGACGTCTGACATTCACATCAGCGCTGAGAGTATGCTTCAGGTATTCGCTCAACGTTACTAAATTATCGTCCGTTAGCTCCATTTTGACGATTAAAAATTCACTCTTTTACTGTTTTACTCGTTCCTCGGAATAAACAACGCAGCGCGACAATAGCAAGTCGAAAATCAACGCCATATATCACAACCGGCTTTTAGCTCCGGCAAATTAAATTCTTCCCAACGTTTGTCATTGGTTGGCGTTCGCAGCAAATAATAAGATTGGCGGGAATAAGCGAATCGCGATGAATTTGTTCTATCCAGTTAATTTTTCTTCATTAATATAAAAGAAACGTAAAGAAATACTAAACGTTTTATAAGCAACTTCTTCTATAAATTTAACTTCTATAAATTTAAATGTATTGAGATGCATACAAGTGTAATAAATATACGTATAGTATTGAATTAAATTACTAATATGTATTTCTTACAAATTTACATTTATAATCACAAATTATATAAATATTATACATATTTAATACTGTAATATTATATTCAATGATAATTATATCAAAATTATATTCCTCTAAACATTTTTTTTCTAATTTATTTTATATAAAATAAAGAAAATAAGACAATATGTATGTAAACTATGTAACACACTTCAAAACATATTGGTATTCTCTTTCGCCTTACATTCGTTAATTGCGATTTTGTTCTGTTCTATCTTCTTCTCTATCTTGTTCAACGAGACCTCCGTTAATCTAATCGTATGCATCAGATTATTATTACTGCGCCTGTCACAACAAAACCGTAACTTTTTATAAACATCACATTGCCTTATTGGAAAAGCTTAGGGGGCTAGAAGGGAACTAAGGTTCACGATCGTTACGTACGAAACTCTATATTTCTCTATTAATTAATATTTCAATTTGCTCTAATTTAGGTTCTATGAATATAATTCTCCACAAATTATTAATGCTAAAAAACTAAAATAAAATATTTTTCGATTCTTGGAATTAAGAAATTTTCAAATATGTAGATTTTTAATCCCGTAAATTTTTAAGTTTTACAATCAATTATTCCACGCTTATTGCAAGCTATTAAATTGTCAAGCACATTGGATATGTACAGATTGGTAATATTGTTATACATATATAAAATATATAAATATTTCTTCACCTGATATCAGTTATTACAGTATTGAGATTTGATAAATCTTTAATACCCGTATTAGCTTCAACATAATCTGAATTATGTTTTCTTTGCATATCATTCAGTTCTTGTTTCAAATTTACAAGGTCGGTCTCAACTTCTTCGCATTCTTTGTGAAAATTTTCGATATCCTTCATCAAAACATTATTGGACTATAAAAAATAAAAAATTTCGCATGATTTATAATGTTTACAAGAGATATCAATTGTATGAAGAATGTTTATAATGTGCAATAACTCAATTTGTGTTTGATATTATAATAAAAATTCATATAAAGTTCCTTGCGCATTAAGAAACATACATATTCCTTTATCCATTGACAAAAATTATCAGCATATTTTCCCACTTCTGAAAGACAATCATTCCTGAAAAAATATATTTATAAAACATACATTAATCTTATGTATATTCATAAATTTTCAATCAAATTTTTATACAAAGTATCTATCTATGACGCTTTTTTCGAATGTAAAATTAATAAAATTAAAAAAAGGATTACAAATTACACAAACATTACAAATTAAAAAAAGGATATACAAACATACATGAAATATTGTCTTTAGTTTTTAAAACACAGGACCTTAAATCATAAATACCACAGTTTGTGCGATAAGTTCGTCCTTGCATTTTGCAAATTTTCCAATTCTTGCTCCTTCGTAGCGTGTATATTTGTAATTTCCGATATCTGTTTGTCAATCTCTGATATTTTCATCATTAACTTATCGTGGTTCGTTTCAATGTTGCCATTACTCTCGAGCAACTTCGATGTCTCATCTGTCCAGTACTTTACTACCTGGTTGGAATCTTCGACCGATTTTTTTAACTTCATATACTGAAATATTGTCTTTTATGTTAAAATTCGTTACACCCTCTAGTTATAAATTATTATCAACAACCTGAGCTATAAATAACGAATTGATCTTTTCCGATCGGTATCTAAAATGATGACTTAAATGATGATGCTCGTGCTTTACCTCTTTAATATCAGAATTGATCATGACTGATTCCCGATTTTCAGTATCTTCTACAGGTGCTCCATTGCTCGTGAATTCTCCCATTTCCATTTTTTGCCTATATCGTAGAACGTCTCGTCAAACGTAAATAATATGATGCTTATAATTTTCTACCTGATATTAGATTGCCTAATATTGAATTTGGAATTGAAACGATCACGTTTAATTGAAGATTGAGATATCAATAGTCCCTTCAAATCCAGTTATTTCAAACTGACCAATGGCGTCGCTACTCGCAGCGCACAGGAAAGACTACAGTTTTTACGAGTTCAAGGGAACTTGTTCGTTATAGCTACACTTTTTCGAATCTCTTTCTCTGTTTCCTTCTTTTTCTTTCATCAAGCGTCAAGTATATACCCACCTCATTTTAAGTACAGAGTATCGTTACGATCCTCAGGCCACAATTCAAGAATGTGACTGCACTCGGTTTCAATACGGTAGAAACACTTTTTTTTTATGCGCTTGAGAACGCGGCCAAGTAATCCAATGAAAGAATTTGTTTTTGATCAATTCCCAAGAATTCAGTTCTCTCATTGGATCTCGGTTGCGTTCCAAATTACATCGAGAAAAAAGTGTTAAAACCATATACAGAAATCAAGAGAGAACATTCCATGTAAAAATTTAAATACGACGAACAATAACAATAATCCTCTCCATTTTCGCGCAAAGTGTAAAATAGAAGAGAGTATTTATATCGCTCGCGCATCGCTACCGGAGGGGGAATAAAAAATTACACTTTACGCCGGTTTGACGAAGGATTGACACTCCGACCTATGGAGATTAAAGATTTTTTCAATAACCTACGTACGCATCGTATACGTATATATATATATATATATATATATATATGTGTATAAATATATATATATATATATGTGTACGATGCACATATATATGCATTGTGTAACATTTAACAATACTTCCATATCGCGATGTGTTATTCGATAATCTTGAATTTTCCGCACAGGAAAAGGTGAGTCTGATTTGATTTTGATACACGGATACACGTATCAATTCTTCGAGCGGTATCTTTCATTCGCTGTATTCTACGTCAGCTGATTTTTCCTTCGACAACTATCACACAAGCCGCGCCGTGCGCGGCTTTCTACAGTCTTCGAACGACCGTTGCTACGTGCGTATGCGCGGCACGCGCGTCTCACATTCGTTTTCTTCCTTCAAGTTCCGTCAATATCGTGATTACTATTTATGAGACTCGTATTCTATCTCCAAATATGTGGGAAGTTGTCGGCGTCACTGATTAAACCACATTCCTCCGGCGTATGACTCACGTTCCACGGTAAGTAATGTATCATTACACGCCCTAACGAGAGAAGCCAAATTGATCTTAAAAAGACGTCATGCCTACGGCAAATATGTCTCGCGGAAATAATTAAATGCGTAAACGCACGCGCAAGTCCTTTTCACACTCATTTCGTGTTTAATAAGTATGTTTAATAATGCCTTCTTTTTCGAAGAATGCTGCTTTTATAATGATACTGTTAGTAATATTATCTCTGCTTGTTGCGTATGTGTGTGTTTATTACGTGCTCTTCCTTTAATTTAACGGAAGATCACACGTAATGTTTAATAACTTCTGGAATACAACACCAGAAAATGTTTGTAATTTTTTTTTAATCTCAAGGCCACACACACACACACACACATTACATTCTCCATATATTTTAAACGTAGTAATTAATGATCATACGTTCATAAGAAAGAGTACATAAGATTAGTGGAAAATAATTATAAGGAAAATATAAATTGTTGCAGAAATTGTTTAATAAATAGGTCGTTCCGAAAATTACACTCTAAACTGTCGCGGTCAACATTGTCGTGATATAATGATATAACTAAAATATTTTTCGTTTTTAATGTATGAAACCAACAACAAGCGTATGATTACTTGGCTCCTGCCTGGATAATTGACTCTTTAATTATCTTATCTCTTATCGCACCTTGGACGACTCTCAGTATTCTACTATTCAGTCTGATGTTCAACGAATAGTTACGCGCAAATTATATCGATGTTGCATAAACGCACATAATCAAATGCTGTGGGAACAAATACTGGTAAAATCGTGTATTTCCCCACAATATTTCTTCGTGAATCTGTTATAAGTAGTCTATGGGTTTCTCGTAAACATTCTTACCTAAATAACATATATAAATATAACAATATAATCGCCGAGTCTCAAAACGTTTCTATTAATTTCTTTCTAAAAGAATGCTATTTCTCATTTCTTATCTCTTGTAACGTACGTTAAGATTTATAAGAAGTGAATTTGCATTCCGAATAAAAGAGAAAGGTAAAGGCCATTCGTTATATAATGTCGATTGGGGTTTGGAGTATATGAGAAAAATCATTTTTTTCTCGAAATTTAAAAGACACGCAAGAATATACGTTAATATTCATTTCATAAAATTCCGTTGTTATGTTGCAATCTTGGGGAAAATTTTGCCAACGCTTTTCGTAAGACTTCTTCGTAAAATGTGGTAGAAACGAATTTACCAGAATCCTGCGTGAAACAGGACGAGCAACTGATAAACAACCGCGAGAGAACTGACTGTACTCTATATCCTGTCACATAAAGGATACAGCAATCACATTGATTACACGCGCTGTCTACGCGCATTTCTCTCCAAAACATTTTCTTCGCAAGAGCTCCCTATAATAACGACATATTGTTACATTCATTCATACGGAAGAGAACGACTACATACTTTGGAAAAAAAATATAATTCTTTACATCGATAAATACAAACGAGCAAATCAACATAAATTTCACGCGTTTCACATGTCTTCGCTGAAAAGTATCTACAGAACTCGGTTTTTCATACATACATGATTGTTTATCTATTAGAGCAATCGGGACCCACAAGTTGTGTGGCGCAATTTTATTCTAAAATTATTAGCTTGGACGTAACACGTCTAATAAAAATATCGTGATATCGATAAAGATTGCATCACAGAGTTATATGAGGTGTCTCTCGATAAAATTGCACATTCTCGCGTTGCAGAGAGAACGAAAATGGTGTCTCGAAACAGGAAGATTAAAATTACGACCGTCGGTGATGGTATGGTTGGAAAAACGTGCATGCTCATCACGTATACAAAGAAAGAATTCCCGACGGAATATGTGCCTACCGTGTAAGTATTCTAACATAATGTATAGCGTCACACAATCAAAGCTCGGAAGTTACCGTCTCTTAAGGTCGGTCGCCCCACTCATGCGTTTACTAGCGGTCGCTTGGCGCGAGGCGCGTCTCTTGATGTGTATATATAGAATAAATCGATAAGCAAAATGCCAAATAAAAGTTTATTTGTTTAACGACGCAATGCATCATCCGGAGGCACAAACTGTGATCCCACGCTCCACCACCACTCGGGCGCTCCTCAGTTATCTCATTTATCTTACCATCTTACCGTTTGCAGTTTTGACAACTACGTCGATACCATATGCGTGAATGGACAGCAATTCGAGATGACATTATGGGACACCGCTGGTCAAGAGGATTACGAACGACTTCGACCACTATCGTATCCGAATGTAAGCGACAATTTTCCCGAGAATGTACTTTTAATTTCTTGTTACTATTTATATGCAAGTCAAACTTATTCCACGCGAATAATGAATTTCGTAATTTTTTCATTTTCATCTTCATCATTTTTCTCGTCCTTTAGTACTGTCTTTTATGTACGAGCGCACGCATTGATGAGCAGCGCGATTGATGGTACACTTGATAGCGACACAGCAACTTAACATGCATCCTTTTTCTCTACTTTTTGCAGACCGATTGTTTTCTAGTCTGTTTCTCGATAAGTGCTCGTAGTTCTTATGAAAATGTATCGAGTAAGTGGCATCCGGAGATTAAAACGCACTGTCCCAATGTACCAATCGTACTTGTAGGTAAGTATATTTATAAGATAAATATAAAATTTTTCTCGAGTGTATAATACACATACGGTAAATCTAATCATGCTCTTGTATTACTTGGTACAGTAAAGAAATTCATCTATGTTATGAAATCTGCGTCTCTATACAATAGATGAAAGTTTATACAAAAATAATACGTTACTTTCTTATCAGGTACTAAAGGAGATTTCAGAAATCAAGAAATTATGGATATTATCACTTCACGTGAATGTAACAAGATGAAAAAAAAGATCAAGGCAGTCAAGTATGTTGAATGTTCTGCAATAAAGCAAGAAGGACTAGAAGAAGTATTTATGGAAGCTATCAGAGCTGTATTGAAGAAACCGTCATCGAAAAAGCCCTGCTGCATCCTTTAAAATGTGCAATATTGAGATCGATACAATGAATTTTGAACTGACCGATTGAAGTCATCAAGACGGATATCAAACCAAAGATTCTCTTCACATCTCTTTCGTGTCTTCCTCGCATATCCTGCCCTTAACATTTCTAAGGAGTATGATATATTCTTTATGTAAGCCAGGATTCTTTCTTGCGCCTTGTAAATATATACTAAATATTTTATCTGCACTGCTCGAAAAGATTAGAGAAAATTATGTGGTACAAATAACTCTGGTTATGAGCAGTTTCATAACTTAAAGCAAACATAAGAAATATTAAATTATAAAATAACAGACAGTGAATAATAATAATAATAAATTAAAATATCGCGTTAATGTTATATATTTAGTAAACGTTAAAATTAGGTATTGAAAAAAATATTCGAAAAAGAAATATAAGGATATGTGTAAATGTATATTACATAATGGAAAACGCATGTTTTGTTAAATTAGTTATTGTACACTTTATCTTGTGTTAATTGCTGGATGACAATTGTATAATAATCTATAATACAATTAAATTGATAATTCCTTTCAATGTTACAAAGGATATTTATTTTCTCTTATATGTAGAAGGCCTATTTTTATTTAAATATATTCATTCTTTCCAATAGTTCTGAATTATTACATCAAATTTTTAGATGTACAATTGTGTAATTAGCAAATTTAAGAACTTGAATATATCTTACAACTTTATTAAAAAGATATCACAATATATAAAAACAAAGTCAAAATTTCTTAAAAATAAGACTCCATACTTAATAACAATTTGTAATAATTATATTGGGTCTGGGAAAAAGTTCGTGGCGTTTTTCCCGATAGATGGCATCAATTGCGAATAACTCAGGAAACACACACAGATCACAGCGACACCACTAAACGCTCGTTGGAAACGTGACACTTCGAATGTTACTTTGAGTGTATAAACATCGAAATTGGTGCAGTGGTTGGAAAGTTGTTTGCGTTTGAAAATGGAGAAAAGTAATGAAAAATTGCGCTATATTTTGCAATATTATTACGACAAAGGGAAGAACGCTGCGCAGGCTTGTGAAAAAATTTGTGCTATGTACGGTGAAGGTACTTTATCAAAATCTGCTGCGCGGAAATGGTTCGCTCGCTTTCGTTCTGGTAATTTTGATGTGAAAGATGAGTCACGCTCTGGCCGTCCAATCACTGAAAAAGCTGATGAAATTCTTGAAAAAGTCCAGCAAGATAAGCATATCAGCAGTGTCGATATTGGTATGGAGCTAGGCATTGACCACAAAACTGTTTTGAACCATTTACACAAAGCTGGCTACAAAAAGATGCTCGATGTATGGGTTCCTCATGAGTTGAGCACGAAAAACATGATAGACCGAATTAACATCTGCGATGCGCTGCTAAAACGCAATGAAATCGAGCCATTTCTGAAACGTGTCATAACCGGTGATGAAAAATGGATCACGTACGACAATCGGAAGCGTCAAAGATCGTGGACAAGGAATGGTGAGCCGTTACAAGCGTTCGCGAAGCCAGGATTGACGCCGAAAAAGGTGATGCTGTGTGTATGGTGGGACTGGAAGGGAATCGTCCACCATGAGCTACTTCCAGTTGATCAGACGATTGATTCTCAACTCTACTGTGGACAACTAGAGAGATTACGCCAGGCAATTGAAAGAAAACGGCCCGAATTAAATAATAGGAAAGATGTTGTCTTCCATTATGACAACGCTCGACTACACACTTCTTTGATGACCCGTGAAAAATTGCGAGAGCTTGGTTGGGAAGTTTTGATGCATCCACCATATAGTCCAGACATAGCACCCTCTGACTATCACTTGTTCCGATCTCTGCAGAACTCTCTCAATGGAATTAAGCTGGTTTCAAAAGAAGCCTGTGAAAACCACTTGATTCAGTTTTTCAACCAGAAACCACAGAAATTCTTCACCGATGGCATCATGGCTCTACCCGAAAAATGGCGAAACATTGTCGATAATAATGGAGCATATTTGGTTTGAAATAAATTTTCACACTATAAGAAAACCAGTTGAATTTTACTAAAAAAACGCCACAAACTTTTTCCCAGACTCAATATATGTATGTATTACATCCCCGACTTATAACCTATAATCCCAACTTGTAGTTAATCCTGACATAGCTTTTGTTGTATTTCATACGTATATGATAAATTCATATATATATATACATATATAATGAAAAAGAAATTACAGCTTAGCTCTGTTGACTTCCATAATATTTTTCAATTTTTGGGCGAGCATGATATTTCCAATTATTTTCAGTTTTCCTTGTAAAAATGCTGCCTGCGGATTTAATTTTCCTAGTGCCTGTAACAATCATATTATTTATAAAAATATATATAATATTTTACATAGTTAACTTACTATTTCAACCATATCTTTGTCTTCTATAGTTAATGTTACATCTGCTTTTCCTGAAGGTCTTCCTTTATGTACTTTAGCATTCTTAAGATCAAGAGCTATAAAAAACATTTAACAAAAGATTAATAAATTAATAAGCAAGATCAACCTATTTATGATATTGAATCGCATATATATACTCGTGTGACTCAATATGATTTAAATATGATAGAAACGGATCATATTCTTATGATCTAATACAGTATTTTAGCTATCTTTATTATTGAATTCAGAACATTTACTTCCTTGGCTTTAAATATTAATTTAAAATCTACTTTTTAATTTTTTGTTTTGTATTCTTAAATTTTACAACAGTACTAAATAATAGTTAAATAAATAAATATATATTACAAATTCATATGTTATCAGAAATAATTCCTAAAATTACTTACTCCATTCAGCTGCTGGTTTCTTATCGACGGTTATGATGTAAAGGAAGACTGCATTAACTGTTTTAGCCAAATTTGGATCTGCTTTCATATGTTCATCTATAGTTGCGAATATAGCATCACTCTGTACATCTTTGGTCGAGCTCGGATTCACTTTTGGTATTGCCATTTTAACGTCATGTAGATCGATGTAAGCGCCTGTAAAGTAAAATCGTTTTAAGACAACAAAAATAAAAATTTATATATGCAATATGACTAGTAAAAGATATACGTCCATATTTGTCTTTATTACTTAACATTATTTTCTTACTAAGTATCATGAACAACATGAATAATAAAATAATCAAATATATATACTAATATGATATAGTCTTTTTTTTTAAATATACATTATGTATTTTTCTTTTTTTTATAGTGAATGACTTTGGTTCTCAAAAACTCACCTGTTATAACCGGTACACCGGTTTCAACGACAGACGTTTGGAAATGTATTCTCTTATCGTTATGCCACATATCAGTGCGTAATGTTTGACCTGGCAAAACTGGCTTTACAAACCTTACCTACAATTATAATATAACAATATTACATAAATATAACATATAATATATCATTATATGTAGGATAAAATAGAATAGAAAATTATTTTATTACACTCTGAAATATTCTTTTAGAACAACAGATTAGTGCACTCAATATGATTTAAATATGATAAAGAAATAGACATAACACATTTTGAACCAGATCAAGATTAAATTACTCACAAATTTTAGAAATACTTCATACTAAAACAACGAAAAGAATTTATATCAACCATATATCTGTAAATAATCTGTAAATAATAAATACATTCCATCAAAGTGTCACGTTTCGGATACTATATAAGTATAGATGATAAGTATGATTGTTACCAGTTCTTTGCGAATACAAGTCGAAACGTATATATCAAAAATATTTTGATCATCCCCATAGTGTACATAATTAGTAATTATCACTTACACGTAGTTGACGGAATGTTCTTCGATTAGCACGAATGTCCACGACACAATGCCGACTCACGCTGCGGCTAATTTATCAATACTTGAGTGACTAAGCACTGTGCAAGTCACAAATAATGGTGGGATAAGTCACGTCACGTGTGGTGTGGTGGGGATTATATGTTATATAACATATAATTAATATAATAAGAGAATGAAAGTCCATGAGATGTCATTACAATAAACTTAATATTCTTAAACGAGTATTTTGTCAAATTTGTTGAGATATTTTAGTTCCTTTCCAGTAAAAATTATACACAAAATCATAATAACGCAGAATTGGAAATTGTATCACTAAACATATGCATTGCTATTATTAGCCCACACTAGTGTAATTAATATATTCGTTAATATTTTTGTCACTTTTGTCATTTTTGTCACCAGTTTTGTATGTCATATTGCTTAGAACCGGTTTCAAAATGGAGATCGTTAAATCTATCGAAAACCATCTTAATGTATCTCAAATTATTAGGAAACTTATTGTGAAATCTCACAGACCTGTCCTTTCTCTATCTCTCTCCAACAATAATCTAACCTTCATGGATTTGAATAAATTTGGATCTCCACCAGTGTAGGCTTGAAGGACATGTCGAGTAGAGAATCCTAGAGAACATAACCCGTGCAATATTGGTTTCTCGAAACCTGCTAGCTTGGCAATATTAACATCCACATGCAAAGGATTGAAGTCTCCATTCAATCTGTACAGAGCGGCCTATAAAATTAATGCCAAAATTATCATATACTTTTTTCCAAGACTATCGCACAATACTTCAACAACATATTTCAGAACTTAATTAATTGAAATTAAACAAATAATTAAAATAAAAAATTCTAATAAAGAAATATCTTTCTTCTGCTTTCTTACTTGGTCAACATTCGTTTGTTGCGTGATTGACATATCCGGATTTCGAGCGGGTGGATCAATGACTGGAATGCTATATGACGACGTTCGTTTGCCTTGGAAACCACCCGCACCAATAATGAATATAGACATTTGTCCAGACAATAATTTTTCTCCATTTGTTGCATCATATGTATCATCTGGAGAAATATAAAATATTATACATACTGCAATAAATTATCATCATCATGATAACTTTATCATGACTGACAACTGAAATCATCGTGATAATCGGAATTTATTTTCTGAAGCTTTTTTAATGTTGTATATTTTATGAGTCTATTAAAGATTACTAGTCTGAACATTTTATATAAATTGTAAAATTGGCATACGTTGAACCAAAACAACTGCGCCTTTCTCCTTATCCAAGACATCTTGTACCTTCAAGTGTGTTTCCACTACAGCTTCTGTAGGTAATCGCTTATAGACTTCTAGATATTGCTCTCCATGTAATATCTACGAATATTATCAGAATCGTAATATAATACCCAACAAAAGTATTGATATAAATTTAGGGATGATATAAAAAAAAATGCGTCAAGTATCGAAACAATATAGAAATAAAAAACAGAATTCAACACAGGTCATACTTTTGTCGGATCAATTTGTACATTTGGTAAAGTATTCGGCAATAAAGAACTATTCATACATCCCATAGGTCCGTACAGAACATGGAATGTAGGCAAAACAGCGAATTCGTCGAGATTCTCATACAAATAACGCATATCGCTTGGCTCTTTAACAGTAGCTCCAACTGAAAGAATAAATCCAATAAGTTTAACAGACTCAATATCTATTAACCCCAGTGTGATTCACAGTATATCTCAAATACGTGAATGATATCCCCATGAGCATATAAAAATGTGCAATGAGAACGATTAACGTTAATAGGAAATGGATCGATTTTCAATTTAATCTATTTAACTTACCTCCAAGTGCGTATAATATAACATCGCGGAAATTATAGCTGTTCTTCATTACAGTTTTCTGCAGAAGATAAAACTGATAAGAATAAAACATTTTAAAATCAGCTAAAAGAATTACAAAGTATGACGTACTTCATCTCCAGATGAATCATCATTTTTCAGGCTTTCGACGACGTTAAGTAATTCTCCTGTCACTTCCTAATCACAAATTGCAGAATAAGACCAATAAATAGAATGACGAAAAAAAGAAAATTAAAAAAATTAATATCTTCTTAACTATAATGCCAGTAATTAAGATAAAATAATGATAAATAATGATAAAATAAGACAAACGCTAATAATAAGATAAAGTGATTTAATCTTACAATATATTATTATATAGATTATTTTTTGAATATAAAATTTTATATATAACAATAACATTCTTAATATAAATGCATAATGACAAATTAACTTACTTGAATTGAATTGAACCGCTTTGCTGATGTCATGTCAGTTATTTCTGACCAATTTTCTTGCACTGCTTCTGGTGTAATGTCAGACGATAAATTTTGTCGTAAAATACAACCCGAAGAACGGATTAAATGACCTATAGATTTAAATAATAAATTTATTTCTTATATTTGTTTTATATTATATATTTAACTATATATATACAGAGTATCCTATAATTGTAACACACCAACTCCATAAGGGTGTAGAGCTAAGCGAGAGCAACGAAAATGTCTTCTTCCATTTAGCGATATTTTGCATCGTTTTTTAGTAATAACCGTTGGCGCTTTGACGCCGCGCGACGGTCAGCACGAGCTGTACGTTACCGTTCAGCCTCGACGCACACAGCTCACCGCGGAGCATCTATAAGCCGCGATGGGCGTGACATACGCCAAACTTTACGCGGTTATTACTAAAAAACTACACGAGATATCGCTAAATGGAAGAGAACTTTTTCGTTCCTCTCGTTTCGCTCTACGCCCCTATCGAGTTGGTGTGTTACAATTATGGGACACCCTATATATTATAAACGATAATATACACAATTACAAATAACAACATACACTATGAATAATCATCGAATATTCAGAGTTAATATAAACTATAAATTATTAGAGTTAATATAAAATATAAATTTATTTTAAGTATTAAAAAATGAAAATGATCATCTTGCATAAGTTAATATTCATATAATTTATTTCTTTCATAGGTATATAAACATAAGCAAACCACAACTGTTTGTATTTCAATAATAAAACTATATAATTTTCTTTTTTCCTAATATTTGATACTCACATTTGCCAGCCCAGCCTAATGCTGATTCAATTATCGAGCCATTCTCTGCACAACTTTCATGACACAACCAAAAGACAACAGGTGCTATTAACTCAGGTTTTAGTTCATTGAAAAAGTCTGTAAAATATCAAATATTCTCTATTTTAGTAAGCTCAACAGAATATATATTTAAATCAAATATAAAACGAGATATGAAAATATTTTGTATTACTTTAAAACTTCATAATGGCAAAAGAGAAAGCATACAAAGTAAATGTTCTAAAAAAAAAAAGATATCAAATTATAAAATGTTAACTTTTTGGCAAAATGAATGCATTTTATCTAAATATTATGACTGATTACAAGCAAAACAATTTAGGATATTCATATAAAATTGTGTAGCATGATGATGATAATATTTAAAAATAGATAATAAAACAAATTGAAGACTTACCTGGTGGGATGACATCTTCCGTTAAACGTGAGCCAGCTGTAGGCACTATTACATTAGTGTGAATGTTCTTCCTTGCACCTTCAATAGCTAATGTATTAGCTAATCCTACAAGACCCATTTTTGCTGTGCTATAATTGCTTTGTCCAAAATTTCCATACAAACCGCTGTTGCTTGAAGTTAATATTACACGACCATATTGTTGCTTAAGAAAATATGGCCATGCCGCATGTGTTGTTTTTACAGCACCTCTCAGATGAACATCATATATCATGTCTAGAATAAACAATATATATGTATTCTAATCTCTCACAACTAAGTTCCTTAGATAAAAGAACTAAATAATGTATAAATAAGAAACCTCATACAAAAATGCTGAAACTTTTAAGTTTTTAAACATGTGATTAAAGTTGGACAAACATATAATGATTAAAATTGGTGTGCTTAAATAAGATGAAATACACATATATGTATGTTTCTCATGTGTCATAGGTAGAATTTGTAAAAGATGAAATTAGTACCTTTTACTACTAGAAACTTTTTAAAAACAGTCATGTTACAGCTTACTTCAAGCTATTTTAAGCTACTGCACAGAAATATTCAGCAATATTTATAAAAATTGGAAATGTACATACATTTTTTTTAAATACCAGCTTTTTATCGTGGTATATTTACATAATTTCTACATCGATATGAAAATCAGGATATGAAAGTGCCGTTATTATTATACATTGCCTCCTATGTTATATAAGCACACAATAACCATTGTTGTACTGGTCTACTTTAATCACTTACTTTTTTAAATCAGTATAATCTCAATATTAAAATTTCTATTTTCACATTATGTAATAGATTCGATTCTGAAAGAATTTCAATGAGAAATAGGACATACTATACATAGATCTTTATTTGCTGCTTTATTTTCTATTTTAATGCTTTTTGTTTTATTCATAAATAAATGAATATAGACCTACATACCCCACTGTTTATCTGACATCTTTGCAAATGATGTATCTCTCAGAATACCAGCATTATTAATAACTACATCAATACGACCAAATGTTTTGATTGCTGTTTCAATAATTTTTGCACCATCTAGTACTGAATCATAATTTGCAACAGCTTTTCCTCCTAAAGAATTATCATCTTGTTATTTTCTTATTTTCTTATTTTATGTTGACATATATGTATTGTTATCAAATAATTTATATCTTATTTACAAAAATATATACTGTATAATATATATTTTATGCTATGATGTTTTATATGTATATATGAGATTTTAAAGTAGTTTTATCTTGCATAAATATAATTATGCTTTTTAAGAACGTGATAGTAAATTAAATAAAAAAATATATAATTAATTTGTCAAATTAAGGTCTCTAACCATTTCGGCGGATTTCTTGTACCACAGCATCTGCACTTTTGGTGCTATTTCCATCTCCGTGTCTGTTGACTCCTAAATCATTTACAACAACGCTAGCACCTCTAGATGCAAACAACAATGCATAAGCTCGTCCCAAACCTGAAATATTGATTTTATGTATACGACAGTCTTAATTGAACTTCCAATATATGATGTTCACAATTGTTGTCAATAAATTAGACCATATTTTAAAGGGTAATTATTTAATTATTTTATTATTATTTTTAATTATTTACCTTTTAAAGTATTAAAAACATATTTACCTGCACCAGCTCCTGTTACCACAACTACTCGTTTGTCATAACGCAACAAATTCGGCATCTTAAGGAATGTTCACGATAAATTGCGTTGATAATGAATACCGTAAGTAAACGCCACACTACAATTTTATATTCTTTTACGTGATTAGATGGCTCTTCGTTATATGACTCTTCAGTTTTACCCGAAGATATTTGCGATCACCTCAATTTTATATTCTCCCCTCTACAAACAATTATACTGACAATGATGAAGCAAAATTGATAACAAAAATGTTTAAAGTTCAAGTATAATTAACGTTTTTCTCTTTAGCTAATGCTACTGAACTAGTGCTACACTTTGAAACTTTGTTCCTTTTCTCTTTAACGCAAATTTATATAATTATTTCACTCTAACGGCGAAAAGTGCAACTTGGTTCAGTTAAAGGCCGCTCTTGGGAGATTTTCTCTCTGGTGATACTGAACGCTCTGTGAGTGGTGTATCATGAATGGGAGAGGGTGATAAAGCTAAGACTCCATGCATGCGGTGAGCTCCGGCAAACGGCTGCGGTGACCAATCAGGAGACAGACGCATGCCGGAGCTTGCTGCAACCGGACTTGCGCCTCCCTCCTGATTGGTCACCGCAGCATTTGTCGCAGCTCACCGCATGCATGGAGTCTTAGCTTAAGTGAGTGTGAGAGAGACATGTTGAGATTGAAGTTTATAAATCTGTCTTTAACCAAAGAGAAGAAGGAGAGAGGTCACGGGCCACTTTTAGCCGAGCCCAGTGTGAGGCGCCCTCTGCACAACCGTGCACATGAACTACGCACTACGATACCAATGTCCACGATTCTTTTCTGATTTCCCCCACCACGCACGCACACATAGCCGGCTCAGTCTACCGTGTGGACTACGCGCTCGGCAATCGTCGGCGCGCCGAGCGACAGAGAGATATCATTCTCTCCTTATCGCTCTCGTGTTCGCTCAGCGACGCGAGCGAGAATATCTTTCCCTCTTTCTCGCTCTCGTTCTCGCTCAGCGACACGTGCGAGGCTAAAGCCCAAAACACAATGCTAGACGATAGCGATAGCGTTAGGCAATAACGATAGCGATAGCATATCAATAGAAACAGAAAATTCCGATAGGGAATGCATATGCCAATACAGAATGGAACACGGAACAGGCAACAGCGACAAAATTTCCGACGACTTGGAATTCTGCATCTATTGTCTTGTAGCCTACCAATCATAGCATTCAGATTTTTGCGAATTCGCTGACGACTTAGGCCCAGTTCTACAAAATCAAGTTTAAACCGTGATTATCTGAACTGACGTTACATTTAACGGCATGGTTAAACTTATATCGCGTTCCACATCATATTTTTAACTGTAGTTTACTTAAACCTATAGTCTGTATGAAGAAACTCCCACACAGCACTGCAATACTGCAGCAATATTACAAAATCACATTATTAATTTGAAGCAATATTATAATATCGTAGCAATATTACAAAATCACAAGGTTATTATATAATATTCCAGCAATATTATTACATTATTACAGAGTGATATATCAGATTACAATATCACTGGAATATTACTGCAATGTTACAATGTGACTATCGTATGGCAACATAGTGACAATATTACAACAATATTGCGAGATGATAAATCTCATTGCAATATCACAGGAATATTGCCGCTATATTCCAGCATGATAGACCACTACGTAATATTTATGAATATCGCAGTAATACTTCAATGTGATATATCAATCTACAATATTGCAGGAATATTATAACAATGTTGCGGAGTGATATATCAGATTACAATATCACTGGAATATTACTGCAACGTTATAACGTGATTATCGTATGGCAACATAGTGACAATATTACAACAATATTGCGCGATGATAAATCTCATTGCAATATCACAGGAATATTGCCGCTATATTCCAGCATGATAGACCGCTACGTAATATTTCTGAATATCGCAGTAATACTTCAATGCGATATATAAATCTACAATATCGCAGAAATATTATACAATATTGTACGATATATATAGATATATCAATTAAATATCAGTGAAATATTACTGCAATGTTACAACGTGACTATTATATGGCAACATAGTGACAATATTACAACAATATTGCGCGGTGATAAATCTCATTGCAATATCATAGGAATATTGCCGCTATATTCCAGCATGATAGACCACTACGTAATATTTCTGAGTATCGCAGTAATACTTCAATGTGATATATCAATCTACAATATCGCAGAAATATTATAACAATGTTGCGGAGTGATATATCAGACAGATTGAATAAATCAGCATTATAAAGTGAAAAAACGTTAGAAAAATCGATATAAGATGAAATTCGTGATTTCGGCTGCAATGTTGAGTCCGCCATATTGAAAAAAAAATTAAAAAAAAAGCTACCCACATATTTTTAAAGTTAATAACGCGATCTTTGTAGTTTCCGGTATAAAATAACAATTTTTTTTAAGAAATCAATGATTTTCATAAAAGACAGACTGAAGAAAATACGCTGTTTTGTTTAGATCTAAATGGTCAAATTGTAAAAAGCTTACCCGAGAACTCTTAAAAAATTATTTCCGAAAAGAATTATTAGCGATTTCTTTAATATCTGTTAGCTCAAAGTTTATAGTCACGCTATTGACGGTTGCTGTACTCAGTTTCAGAATCCTTTACTGAATAAGACAAAATTTTTTCGATTTGCGAAAAGTTCTTATTGAGAACTTCTATAAACATTATTCTTTATGCTATCATTATATTTATATTTCTATTATTGAAAATTGTCTTATATATACGTTAATATTACATCTCTATTTTTATTATAAAAATGATAATGATAAGATACTGATTTTAATAAAAACTTTTTAGCAATTATGGTTTATAGCATCTTACAAATTTTATAAAATTTATGATTCTGAAGCTATGATTACCGAAAATATTTGCGTTTTGATTTAACAGATGAGCGATATATCAGACAATATCACTGGAATATTACAATTTCACTAGAATATTACTGCAATGTTACAATGTGACTATCGTATGGTAACATAGTGACAATATTACAACATTATTGATGATAAATCTCATTGCAATATCACAGGAATATTGCCGCTATATTCCAGCATGACAGACTGACCACGTAATATTTCTGATTATCGCCACAATACTGCAGTGTGAAACAATTTATATACAGGGTGTCCCATTTTAATGTCACATCACAAATATCTCAGAAACATTGCGTTAAATCAAAAAATGTTTCAGACAAAAGTTGTTTGGCTTGAAGGAGGACAAGAAAGCGATAGCATTTTGTTTATAAATGGCGCCACTTTTGAGATATTCACTGACAATCAATTTTCATAAATGGAAATCCGAATTTTTTGTTATATTTTCTTTTTCTATCAATTAATTTTCGTCTGAAACATTTTTTTATTTGGTTAATATTTTTTGAGATATTAAGGGAGAACTTGGTAACTTTTTCAACATTTAACTTACGATATCTCGCTAACTATTCGTCGAAAGAAAAAATAGTATTAGACTTTTTTACTTTACTTACTATCAAGAATATATTATTATAATAGTGCCCTAACTTTTGTTAACTTATCGACTTTTGGAAATTTCAAAATTATTAAATTAACAAAAGTTAGGGCACTATTAATATATTCTTGATATTAAATAAAGTAAAAAAGTCTAATACTATTTTTTTGTCGACGAATAGTTAGCGAGATATCGTAAGATAAATGTTGGAAAAGTTACCAAGTTTTCCTTAAATATCTAAAAAAATATTAAGCAAATAAAAAATGTTTCAGACAAAAGTTGTTCAAATTAATTGGTAGAAAAAGAAGATATAATAAAAAGTTGGGATTTTCATTTATAAAAATTGATGGTCAATGAATATCTTGAAAGTGGCGCCATCTATTAACAAAATGCTATCGCTGTCTTATGTCCCCCTTCAAGTCAAACAACTTTTGTCTGAAACATTTTTTTATTTAACGTAGTGTTTCTAAAGCGTGGTCTACAATGGCCGTAAGCAATAAGAAGAAAGCGTGAACAGTAAGAAATGGACCAACCACAGTTGATTATTTTTGTCATAATCGACTGTGATTGGTTCATTTCTTACCGCTTACGCTTACTTCTTACTGCTTACTGCCATTGTAGACCACGCTTGAGATATTTTTGCGAGATTAATGCCTAGGACATTAAGTATTTTTGCAATATTGCTGTGATATTTATGCAATATTTCAGTAATATTCCTGCAATATTGCAGCAACATTTAAGAAATATTGTAGCAACATTCCTGCACGATTGCAGTAATATTTTGGCAATATTTTGCAATTTTTCTGCAGTATTGTGGCTATATTTCATAGGTATTCCTGCAAGATTGTGGCGATATTTCAACAACATTGTGGCAATAGTCCTGTGATATTGTGACAATATTCCTACAACATCATAACAATATTCCCGCAATATTTCTGCGAGACTTATGCCTAGGACATTAAATATTTCTGCAATATTGTTGTCATATTTATGTAATATTTTAGTAATATTCCTGCAACATTTCTGTAATATTCCTGCAATATTGCGGTGTTGTGTGGGCTGTCAAAGACTTCTCTTTCTTTTCAAACGTAGAGTATGATTGGTTGTTGCTAATAGTGAAAAGAGGGAAAATTGAAATAAGTTGGATACTATGACATCTAGTAGAGAACAATATATCTATTTCGTATGAAGTAAACTAACCAACATTAACATTTGCTGTATTTGTATATAAGTATTAATTTATTAAAAAGTGGAAGTCCAGTGTTAATAATAATCCATTAGTTTATATTATTGATTTGATTGCATTTATCATATAATAATTGACTTTTATATATAGTTTTATACTCTGTTTTAGAATATAATCTATCGAAGCAAAAAACCCAATATTTTAAATTAAATTTATATACTTACTGTTCTGTTTTATGAGAAATTTCATGCTCGATTTCTGCTAGAACTGCAATAACAGATTCTTTTGATAATCTAAATCGTGCATGAAAATCGACATTATCAAATTCTTCCAAATATCATGATATGATGGTCGTCTTATTCTTATATTTCTTGTCCGTCGATAAATTAGGTTTTCAAAATCTTCATCTTTAGATGAAGATAATATGTATTCTAAAGCCATATCTTTTTGGTGTTTAAACGTTCAAAATATTTGTCAACTGAACTCCAAAACCGGGATAGTCATAAATTTTTTTCTCAAATTGATGATACTGCAGTGTTAAACTTCGTTTAAATTCAT